CCCCCGAGGACCGGTTCCCCCGACTCCGAACTAGGCTTGCAACCGCGGTTATTAACCGAGATCACGGTTTTTCTTCAACATGGGAGTCTACGGGGGACAGCGGACAACCGCAGAAAGTAACCGCGGTTATTTGCAAAGCCTACTCCGAACGGCGTCCTATCTAGAATGCACCGACGGGTCACCTAAAAGGCGTGGCCTTCCCATTCAAGGAAGGGCATGCCAAGAAGCTGTGTGAGGGAGCCATCCTGGTGAACGAGATTTACGTAATTGAAGGTCTCAAGGCCAGGCGGATAGCGTCAAAAATTCGGAAGGTTGCTCCATTTAGCTCTGTGGGTCACGCGTGCTCGGAACATAGTGGTAGAGCTCGATTTGGAAAATGAATCCTGAAGAAGGAATTATCAGAAGAGACGGAATCGCAATATGACCATGAGGTGCTTATAATTATAATCAGAAGGTTCAGACGAAGCAATGTCGCTGAGTCATCCCCCGGCACATCGTATTAATTTACTAGGTAGCTCCACAGAATTCTACTTTCTATTCCTAGAGATGAACCAGTGTGAGCAATGATGACGGTTGAGATATGCCGGGACAAGCGGAGAATACATTCAATTAACTCTGGGTCGCCGCCACCAACCCAGAGTTCCGTCTCTCACGACGCTCCTGTTATATACATAAGTCTGACGAGCTTCGTTAATGAATCATCCTGGTCTTTGATCAACGGACAAGCACCTACGATGATCCAAGCGATCGCTCATCCTCTTCTGAGATCAAAAGGGATCGAATGAGTTTCTTTGCTCAAGGTCCCGATCACCCCCTCGCTATGAAAAGATGCGGAGCCAGAAGCAGCTAGGTATCTCATATGCGAGATCACCCGAAAGTGCTCGCAAGTCCGGCCGATCGCGATTGAGTCCGGCCGATCGCGACTGAGACCGGCCAGCGTCTTCTTCGGGAGGGCGGCTCAGCGACCGTGCTCAGAGCTTTGGAACCAGTCCCAGAATCTATAAGCGACAGGTTCAAAGGCGGATTCTCTTCGATTTCCGATCCACCCCGATGATTCATGACGAAGCTTTCCGGTCATCCGGGGCGAAACCTCGGAAGACGGCGCAAAATCGAATGTTGGAGCCATGATGGATGACCCACGACCGAAAAACCCTGCGCGAATCAAGGTTGCCCGCGGAGCTCATATTCGAATATCAGCCCGTCGTTGAAGTTTACTGGAAAGAGTCTGGACGATTCCTGAGCGGGCACGTCGTTGAGTCCCGATGAACGTGAGGTTTAAGGACGCGGGGTTTCTTTTCAAGAGATTTCCGGGATCCGAGCTCTCGATTATAGCGGACGCAATCCGTTACCGAATGACTTTGAGGTTTTTTGAGAAGATGAGTCAAGACGGGGAGCCGGCTTTAATTCTACCGCCCTGTTTTCGGTATCCCCTATTGTAGTCGGTTAGTCACTAATCGGAGCACGACTACTCATCATCAACTTCCTGCGAGAAGCCATCTCTTGACCCCGCCAAAATCCGTCCAGCAGCGAGTCTTTCATTTGAAACGTACTAATCGTTCCGTTGTTTTTGCAGTGGAAGGTGACGAGAGAAATGCTTACTGGGGATTTCCAGGACAATGAACACTTCCTCCCCGTCCGTTCGCTCGCTCGGCTCAAAGATAATATGTGTAGTACATGAATATTTCGACAAAGCAAATTTTCGCTACACACTACTATGTGGTCGGCTTGAGCAAACACTGGGGACCCAACCTAGGACCTTCGAATCTTCTTATGTTTCTCCGCCATCGGCCGGTTTAATACAGCTGATTATTATGGATCGTGCACCAAGTGGATAAGGCTGCGGAACTGGTCGACCCATGTCATAGAGAAACGCTCCGAGCCTGGGTGATGGTAGCCTCACGGGCAGCGTCGGAACTCCGATAAGGTAATTAAATTTCGATGAGAGACGCTCCTCGTGCAGATCGCTTATCGTGCTCGCCCCTTGACTCGATGAGCCTGTACCTAAACGAGACGGGAGTTCGCTTTCCCCAGAAGGGGCGTACGCAAGGAGGGGGCTAGATGATGCTTCCGTCATGCCATGGTATAGGAGCAAATCGTCACATTGGATTTCAGCCGGCAGGAATCGATTTCAGCCGCACGCGGGGACCCGAATTACCCCCCCCCCGCCTCTCGAGAAAAATCCTGCGTACGCCCTTGATCAATGCCGCTCACCGTGGCGGGCTCGTGGCTTTTGAAATCGATTTCATGGCACAGCTCTCCCTCTGATACTTCGACTCGAGTCTCGGTTTTCGAAACCCAGTCCCGGAATTTTCCGGAGCGATTCCGGAAAACTGGGCCGCCCAGACTGAGTACCCCTATCGCTTCTCCGCTATCGCTGCCCTGGCTAATCGTGCCGACGCAGCCAGAAAATCTCCGGAGCTCCGCGCCCCCTCGATATCTGAACCCCGTACGGGAGACGGCATAGTTCGTCCCAATGACATCTGCGGAGCTTTACTGTATCATTGCTGAAGAATCCGTCGCGATATCAAAATCAAAAGAAGGCTCGCTGTCAGTCAAGCAGTCGGCTCCGGTTTTCGGAAATTCTGCCCATAGAGAATACTGCGAGTGTTCCCGCGCACACTGAGTTGGATATAGTCAGAAACTCGCGAGACGTGCAAACTGCAGCTGTGTGAAGCGGCGGGTCGTGAATCGCTTGCGGGAATCAGACCTCACCGAAAAGACTAGAGACAGAACGGCGTGGAGGATTCAAAGCAATCACCCTCAACCGGGGTGCGGAAGCACCCCTCCGCATGAACGGAAGGTTGCCGGGGCTAAGGGTGATCTCAGCTACAGGTTACGTGCATGGGGTTGAGAACTTATATTAGGAACTCGGAGAAGAAACCGAATCCTGGGATTGGCAGCCGGTTGAACAAATATATTGAGTTCTATTTGCTCAGGTAATTTGCTTCGCATTCGAGATCTCGACGATTAGCGAAGCTCGACACTGGGTAGGATCGCGTCGGCTTTCGAGTACGGATAGGATCTCAAGCTTGGGCTCAGTCGCCGAGTCAGGAGTTCCGGCGTGAGGCAAAATCCAGTTAGACACTATCGTAGGGAGTAATGGGACGTCAAGCGACGTTCTTTGAATCTCCTACCGTGATGTTCAGCATTCAGCATACCATGGCTCATGATCATATACATTTTATGATCCATGAGTTCGAATGAAATATGATCAACCTGTTTTCTCTTCGCATGTATCCGTTGGCTACTTTGTACGTGGTAGTGCCGAGAGCCCATCGACCCGCAGAAATCCGCGTCTTTCCAAAATGAGCATTCAACGCTCTCTGATTCCTTCTCCTTCCTGCTGATTTCTGAGCTCTTCGTTGGCAAGCGTCTGGACCGCTATCGCCTTCCATTGGATCTAGGAGATTTCGAATTTATCGAGCGCTCATAGCTTCACTTTGACGCGCCACTCCCGCTCTCTCGTCCAAGATATATTTTGTTTCGGGACATAATTCGGCTTGCCACACGGGAATCTCTCGGATTATCCATATTGATTGATGATTGATCTTGCTTCTCTGTCTCTGTTTCTAATAAAAACAAAGGAGTTGGCTGTCTCAGATTCCCATCATTGAGCACGGGTTCGCGGCCGGCGTCTACGCGACGACCACTCGGCGAGGTCCCATCGGCGTCTTCGGAACGCGCCGAGGCGTGAGTCCTAGATGATCTTCCAGCCACACACATACTGGGCGCAGGCAAACGCTGGTCAGAGGCATTGCGAACTGTATCTGCCGTTGGTCGCATCCTCAGATACTGGGAAAGACAGTTCTGTATCGTAGTCGGTGTGTGGTACATCAACCCAGTCGAGAGACACCAGACGCTGCTCGAGAGCAATCAGAACTGGTGAATCACCGGAAACTGCTTTTTTTATCAATCCTTATTGCGGACCATAGGTAACATTCTCTTATCAGAGAAGCTTCCATCGATTAAAGCGTGAATCCTCGTGAAATCACATTGGGGAATTATTCTGCCCTTTGGAATTCTCCCTTATTGCCATTGCGCGAAGTTTTTTCAATGACCATCAGGGGTAACTCCAATTCCATGTAAATTACCCTCTCTCAGGTCCAGATGTCTTAAGAAGGGGTATTAGCTGACCCTGCGGTCTGATTCTTCGAACTCGTTCCTGATTCCCCCTTCATCTTCATCATTTACTCCATATTCCTGGTGATACCTATCGTCTAGCCTCCCATGTTGATAAAAAATGTTGGAATCGTATCCCAGGCACTTCCATCCTGCGTCTTGCAGCATCCTCGGGACTAGGTGCTCGGGGGCATTGAGTTGTCTATCTCGCATACTTGCATATGGGGAAGGTAAAACGGAAATCGTATATTTCCTTATTCTATCGCGACCATCCCAAATACCCGTTATGCACCCGTGTATGATCGAACACCGCGCGGAACGTTATGACGAGTGCGACTAGGTCGGTTCCATAATTATTCACACTCTGAATGGGATTCGGAAAATGGCCAGGAATTCAACGGACAACACGCGCCGATATGATATGACCGGGGAAGGAAGTCGGAACCGAAAATTATCAAATTTCCCCCGAAATCATCCCTATTTGCGAAGAATGTCGACGATCTCTGAGGAAGGAAGCGGCGCTGATGGAGCACGGTTAATGAGGCTGGGTATTCGTCACGGGATTGACAGCCGTGAAAACACCGTGAAACGCCGAGACAAATCCGTGGTGTTTTCCATGGCCGACACAGGGGAACCCCGGAATCACCTAGCCCCAATGACGTAGATCGAATCTTCATGGAAGTTGGGGGATTTTTAGTTAAGAAGAAAGCATGCCAGACGAGCTTGTTAGCTTGTCGGGTTTTGAACATTGCTGAGAAGGGATCCCGACTGGAGCGCATGGAGGTCCTGAAATCCATGAGTGTCTCCGGCTCCATTCGAGTAAACCGAACTTCATGTCGCCATCGTATCACGATTGCTTGTGTACCGAAACTTGGTTCTCGTCAGCCTCCATGCTTTGTGTAGGGAAGTGGATGCGAATTTCCGGGTCTCTCATTCCAGGGATTCCCGGAGTATCCCCTCCCGAGGGCCCAAGGCTCTCTGTAGATAGAAGTCCGATACACCCGCTTATAAGAAAACCGCTTAAAATAGAAAACCGGATATAAGAGAGCGATCCCGATTCCCCGATTTTCTCTCCATAACGCTTCATGTTGAAAAACTCGTTTATAAGAATTTAGGATATTGGAGAAACCGGATATAAGAGACCATTTTCCATTCTCCAAGAGGTCTCTTATAAGCGGCTTCGACTGTAACTCTCGGGTTTCTCATCTCGAAGGCTCTCGGAGTCTCAAAGCCGCGCCGCGCTGACCGCGCCGCCGAGCTGGCGAGCTACGGTCAGTGCGGAGCTGACTTCAGCGCCATATGCCAAAATGGCCGCCTCTCTTGTTCGATCATCGCAGCTGCAGCCAGTCTATCCATGTACACAACAACCCTTCGTAGCAGACAGTGCAGTAGCAGAAGTCCCGCGATAGATCGTCGCTGAATAAGCGGCGCGTGCTAGCAGAACTTGAGAATGTTTCTTGCGTCTGCCGGGTGTAGTTGAGCATCGTTCATTCCTTGAATGATCGCAAACCCGGAATCTCCTCACGGCTCGAGACCGATTTTTTGTTGTGTTGTATTTTGATTTGGTGCTACTGTCGTCGGGGGACATTCATCTGGAAAAATGTAGGTTTCTCGTGCATGGTTTTCTCACGGACGCGTCGCTTCCCAGGCCTCTGGACGCACGGCGGAACCCCGGGATTATTAATCATCACTTCGTGCTTGACTCGCAGGCTCTGCCGATGCTTTATTTACGTTTATTTCCTCTTCGCTTTATCATCCTCGGGTGTGTTTTAGCGCAACTCCTGAGAGACCAGTTGATTTTCCCCGTCACGACACCGGCACAGTCGGAGTAACAATTCCATAATTTCGGTAGCATTTATGTCGCCTCTTTGCTTAAAAAGGACCTGCCACAAACGGCTAGACCATACGCTGCGGAAGTTTCTGAGCACCGTGGTGCGCCCCCAGACATTTTGGAGCGGACTTCTGATCCTGTATATACAAAGTGGAATCGGATTGAGTGTGTGCTAGATCTTCTCAGACTGGTGTCAGACACTTGCTGGCTCTACGAATATCCGTCTCCTACTCAGTGAAGGTTTTTTTAGCGGGACCTCGGTCGGGACCCGGCGACTCGAACGTTTCTTCCAGCGTGCTGTCCATTCCAGAGTGTGATGAAGCCGCCGAGCATTAATATAACCAACATTACAGTTTCGGTGACCGCGTGCATCTCCTCCAAACTTCGTCAACATGGGATCCGTGGATGAGAAGAATAACGAGGCTCGTGCCGAAGGTACGTCTTGAACATTCCATCATGGAAAAATGAGCTACAGAGGAGAATCGAGGACCCCCAAAATTCCCTTTCCGCTAGACCAGGCTCTTCGCATGATATTGTCTCCCGATGGGATGATCGGCAGCATCCGCTCGAGACCAGCGCAATTCTTCATTCTTATTACTTATTTTTCTAGGTGGTGCAGGCGACGAGAGAGAGAAGAAAGTCCGTGGTTTCGATCGAGGTCTCGAGCCAGAGAAAATTTTGGGGGCGACCGACGCTGGGGGAGAATTGATGTTTTTGATCAAGTGGAAGAACTCGAGTGATGCCGACGTAGTACCCGCCAAAATTGCCAATGTCAGATGTCCTCAGGTAAATGCTTCACCAAGGCAGATTAGTATTATCGATAGCTTCGGTCGGCTCCAATCGCTCCGGAGCTCGCCCACGGTCCTCCGATTCTGGTTGATCCGAGACAAAGATCTGATACAATCTCGATAGAGCAGCTAATTCTTGCCCTACTAAAGAAGCCCCCTCTCGAGTAGAAATTTACCAGCTGGAATCGTAACTGATGCGCGACTTTTTCAGATTGTTATCAAGTACTACGAAGAGCGTCTAGTGTGGGACTCATCAACCTGCGGAAAGGACAAGAAATAACTTACTTCGTTTGAACGGACGCTTTTTGTACACAAACAGTGTCATCCGGAATGCACTGAATCGATTGCAGTAATGAAGCACGACCATCGAGTAGCATAGCATTGCAAACATGTGTTTAAATATCCGCAGATCATTTCCCCGACATTGAACGAGAGTTCTGAGCTTTTCTCAAGTGACGAAATCCGACTTTCCATAAGATCTTATTCACCTCTGTTGGCATTCAGATAGGGATTTCTTCCCCCCTCTCGCCCGGAATACACCCTGAAGAAGGCGCTCAAAGGCCGATGTATCAGCGTCCAGTGCATTGAATAAAGACTCAGTTCTCAGATGTTGATAAAGCTCGCGCGATCTCTGGATGCAAACAAGAATGAGTCAACCAGAAAAGAACTATCTGTGTAGTGTAGAGTCAACATCATATTCGAGAACACAGTCAGGGACACAATACACCCCTTGGAACTCTGGAATGACATTGAGTGTTCTGATGTGAAGTTCCCTGCGTCGACCTCTGCGGAGCGATCTTCCCGTCAGTACCAGTCGGGATCCTCTGTATTGCTCTGGAAGGGTCCAAACGATTATACTTCACCAGGTATTCTGTGATAGAATGTCGGGCTCCATTAATTCATTAATCCTCCCACTGAACCCTCATTCGGTATCCTCCTTATAGGCGCGTGAGCTTCGGTCGCCGCGTGACGCAAACAGAACGCACAGGGAGAGAATTTCGGTAGGAGAACAATATTTTTTCGCGCAGAGCGCTTCCTGGAGCCCCCCCCCCTTTGGGTTCCCTGCCTCACACAGCTGCCGATCGGACTCCGATACCCAGTGACTGCAACACGGGCCCGAGAAGTCTTCCAGTCAGAGGGTGGTTAGGATGAAAACCGTTTCTGCGGCCGAATCTTTGAATCACAGTCACAACTTTTCGTAATTGGTGCACTGTGGGCTTGGATAAAGGAGTGCTCCGGACATGACCACAAATATGGCTCGCGGAAGCTTGGTCTCGCTCATAATCGTCATCCGCGGTCTCCCCCTGATCGATTTCGGTCCACATTTGAAGATGTCGTTCCCACTCATGTCATGACTCAATATGACCCATCTCGGAAGGAAGTATCTTTCTCTCCACAGAATTCGCGATGGGGCCATGTAAGATGAAATCATAGAGTTCCTGGTGTGCCTCAGATGAATAGGACGAATGGGTCAATAGGCCGAACTTATGGCAATGTCTTCGAAGATTGGAACTCCTCCGGGCCTCTTAGGCTTCGCGTCAAAGGAAGGAATCCCATGCGATGGTTTTCACTTCCTCTTCGAACTTTCTCGATCCTGCTGCCGGAGACGGATACGGACATAGACCCCACTCGGGATCTAGGGGATCGATGGCGAACTCTACCGAAAGATCTTCGGAGACCGGAAGACCTTCGGAAGTCCCCGGAATTCCACAGATACTTGACGAAAGATCATCGAACTTGACATCGATGTATGATGTATCCGATGTGTCGATGTTTTCTCTTCGTTGTTCGTTCGTGGTTCGTAGGAGGCTTCACAAAGTCGACGAGACCGGTAATTCGTTCGTCACCAACGAGCGAATCACTCTACTCATGAGCTCAATCGAGAATCATGCGAGAAGTGGACAGAATATCGAATCCGAGCTTCTTCACGGTGTAGAATCCCTCTGTCCCGAGCGCATCATCGTCGCTTTGTTCCGAAAACGATTCCAAGAGTCTCGACGACCACAACAGTTTTGCCGATTTGCGGAACGGGACGAGACACGCACTCAAGGAACCCAGAGCAAACAGTCGACTAAGGCACCGATCGATCACCAAATCGCTTCGTCCATCTAGGTTTTGTTTCTGGGAAGTACCCTGACCCGTGGTTCGCGGGGGGATTTCGCTTCGATCGAGGGACTCGATTATCATATTTTCTCGAGTCTTCCGTGAGCCGTGAGGATAGGGGTCTCTTTCGAGGAAAGGTATGAATTCCGAAATTAAGGAGGAAGGAGGGGGATCTGTATCCGATATCACGCTCCAGCCGTTCGTGTTCAATTGAGCACAACTGTTTTCTTAAGTCGTTGATCCATCTTCACGAGTGACTGAACGATCAAATGACGGCAGAGCTTGAACGCCGGAATCGGAAGCCGTCGGAATGAGCTGGAGTGAAGCTCGATCACAATCATGATTCACGATCAAGCCCGCAGCGAAGGATTCCGAGTCTTGCGTAGTTCCTACACGGCTGGCCTCGTGGAGCTCGAGCATGATCCCTTCATCCCGTTCTCCGTATGGTAGTGTGGAAACCTGCCGGGAGCGGAGCAGAAGATGCGAGTTTTCAGAAGATCTCCCACCTAAGGTGGATCGTCTCCGTCGTCTATGAATCGTCCGGATTACTCTTGGAAACTCTCGAGGGGCTCGTCTGGGAGATCTTGAAGCTCTCCCCATATATTGTCAGATTTACTCTCAGCATCTCTCGCAATATCGGAAACCGGGTCCGGATGAACGAACTCCTTCTCGAGATGAGCTGCCCCATCGTTGAACCTCCGATTCTTCCCGAGAGCTCCGGCTGGGATCAGCCTCCCTCAAATCACGACATCTAAGACTCGAACGAGCCGGGTCACTGCAGTGAAAACTCTCTCTGGTGCAATCGACACTAATTCAATTACATCCGAGCAATGAGCTCCATGACCACCGTCCGATTGGTCCAGCGGACTTTTAGGAACAGAAGCCAAGGCAGAGCCGCGCGGAGTTCTCGACAGCTTGTCAGACAACCGCAGCCTCCGCAGGCAACTGGTTGAGGATTATTCGCGTACGACCGCTTCTAATGAAGCTACGTTCGCACCGATGAATAGAAATTCGCCACAATTGATCCCTTCTGTGGAATGATCGGCGACCGGGAAGCATACATTCACAGATGACGATCTAAACTACGGACGTGAGCTCATCGCAGAGACTACGAGCAGTTGTGGGGCGAGAATATTAATGAGCTGTCATAGCATCGGAGCGGCTCAGATGACAGCGTTGTTGCTAACCACTGTGGCTCGCTGTCGGGATCGCGTTAAGCCGCCGGCAGGCAGGCGATGCCGAAAATACTGTATCGAATTTCTGTTGCGGTCGTCAGCTCTCTCGCGTTTGTCTCCGGAGCAAGAAGAGCGCCAAGGCTGCCACCGGCATTTATCGTGGAGCCGTCGCTGAACTTTGCGAGAAATGCCTTCAAACTCATTCCGTCGCGAGGGAATCGTGTGATTGTGGCGTCTTTATCTGTTTTTAGATTTATTGTCAAGGCGACGAAACCTTTTTGATACTTTTCGTCCATGGTTTCAGCACCTTAGACAGAGTTTTGCGTTTTCTCTTTGTTATCTTCTGAGAGATGAGCTGTTCTCTCACTACCGACGGCTCAAATCTAGAAAATCGCGATTGGCTCCTTCCCGTTTTCGCGGATCCCTGAATCTCAGGGTGCCTTCGCCCGCTGCGATCCAGTGGAGCAATAGGAAAACGATCAGGCCCAGTATCTTCGGCGAATTTCAGCCCAACTATCCGTTTCGTCATTCCATTAATCGGTTTCAGTGCGGGCGCAGCCGATCGGATTGCACGGGTCCGTCGCAATTCCTTCAGGAGGAGACATCGAGGAAATTTCAGAGCCAGAGAAAAGCCACAACTGAGTCGACATTTCTGGAGATCTGGAGACGGAGAAGGATTTTTCGCCGATTCCAGTCCGCAGTCGGTCAGGAGAATGTGGCGAGCTCGGCTACCCCCACTCAGTCTGCGACCAGCCAGGGACACTCAGCATTCAGCAGGACTAATGAAACAGAGAAGAAAAAACAATCCGACCCCGACAAGTGGACAAACATATACGGAGTCAGGGAGGCAAAGTCACTGAAGACAATTCGTGTAGGAACTAGGGCGGACTGCGTGTCACGTCCAACCACTCCTCAGTTTTCTATCGAAGCCCCCTAGGGTTCGCCAGAGCGCCACGCCTAAATTGTGCGCGATGGTCAACAAGTGTTCTAGGTTCTTTGTCAGCTCTCACCGAAGATCGAATAAGGTGGAAAAAAAATCTCACGCTGACTTTCTCCTCTCGTCATCGAGAGAACTTCCGAAGGGGAACACCATCATCTACAGTGTCTGACTGAAGCTTATCGCCTTCAATCAAATTCTTTGTGTCGCTTCGGGAAGCGGCAGCTGGTGCAGCTCCGGCAACGGCTGTCGTCGTAGACGTCGATAGATCCACATGGAACTCGTTCCAAGACGTCGACCCGCTGCCGCCGCATCTTTGGATCCTTTGGGATTCTCTCAGATTTGTTGACATCTGACGCGCGGTTTCTTCGCAGATTTCAAGTGTAGGTAGGAGCCGGATGGACTTCGGGTGAACGAACGCGCGAAACCGGCATGAATTTGCTTCTATTTCATAAGAGCGCTTCGCCCAGCAAATGAATCTGCCTCAATGCTGCTCTCGGCCGCGAGTGTCCCCGCGGTCGGTGGGAACAGCGGCAGTCTGCTTAGAATTATGGAAATCCTAGACTTCCAGATATGACTCCCGAAAATGTTCGCTCCGGAATACGTGAACGTTCCAGAATGGAAATCTTGACCTCTGACGGGGTATCCATCTCGAGCGGAAAATCTCCCGAGCCCAAGTTGCGGGACCGTAAATTCTGCAGATTATGCACGACCAGTAGGGATGAACCCGGTGTGTTGATTTTCCACGAGAGTCCATCTCGAGACTCGCCCTTCCAAGTCAAGCATCGATTTCGGGTTTCCCTCCCGAAAAGAGATCCTTCACGAATCGACAACTTCCGGACATCGACTCCGAGGTTTCGCTTCATCGATTTCCGAATTGGGTGAGGAACGATCAGAAGAACAATCAGCATCTAGATAAGTCTCACACAGAAGAGAAACGGAAATTCTCACGTATATAAAACGCGGCGTTCTCAACTTTCATCTATGTATACGGTAAGCTCACATCGAGCCGCCTCCGGACGGGGCGAATCAACCGGAAACCATCGCATGAGAAGAATGCTCGACAATCGTCGGATTCGGGAGAAGAAAAACGCGCATCGCTGAGCAGTGCGCCTTCAGCTTCCCGTGGGGGAGGCGAAGGAAGCTGAACAGCAATGCGCTACGGAGCCTGAATCTACAGCGACAGCTTCCGATGCCAGATCAGTGTGAACGGGCTCTGCAAGTGGCTCCGACGTCGTCGCAGCGGGTGGCTCCCTCCCAACGAGCAGCCGTGGTTTGGAAGGGTAGTTTCTTCTTTCCAGACAGTTTTGTTCACCGTAAGGTATAAATACAACCGGCTAAGCGATGGCTGACGGAAACTGATTGCAATGAGGTGTTTTGTGGTAGTTGCAGCCGTGGCGGTCGTCGCCGGTAAGTACATAGCCGGATTGGAGCCTTTTCTTTTCCTCGTCTCCCCGTAGCTCCTCCCGTCGTACACAGCCCGCCTATACCATCCACTCTCGTTTGTGTTGATGCCTTTCCCTATCGCAGCTGTTCGATTTCCCTCTTGGTGCCGAAGCTGGCTTCTATATTTTCATTTAACGTCCGACCGTTCGCTCGCACCGATCGTCGGATCGATCGGTGAAGCCAACTTCCTCCCAGTCATCGACTTCCGTCGTCTTGGAAAGCACAACGTGGAAGTTATCCCTTGATAATTACTACGATCGTTATAATCAGAGGCAAGACGGCACAAGCGTTTCCCGGCTCACGCTTCCGTTTCGAATAGCGGTTCACGGATAGGATACGGTTTCTGCCATTTTCGGCGTCGTAGGTGTCGGAAGACTCGGTCGTGGTCTTCCCCTTCGTTCAGCGTTCTAAGCCGCTCCGTCGGCTCGGCTACCATGTGACTCAATGTCCCCGGGTACCATTTGTCAATGGTCGGTTTCGGGAAGGCGCGCTCTCTCATTCGGACTCCGGGTTGACACCCGCTTATCTGGAAAATAATTTCACTGTGTTCTCCGGGACCGTCAAATTATCTGAAGTTTTCGTCAGGTTATGCCTAGGATCCCCGCCAGGGATGACCGAGACGAACATCCTGGCGAAGAACCCGATCATCTCCATCGTGTAATTTGAGATTTTGGGAGGAGCCTCCATCGGTGGAGTCGAGATCTTTTCGTGCATTCCATCGCGCGACTTTCTCGAAAACGAAGTCCTTGAGACTCGACATAGATTACGATATGGCAATGATCGCTCCTTGCCCTCGAGGCATGCATCCTCACGTTATCCCGATAAGGAGTCACGCTCGGATTTTAGTCGATACCATCGACATAAGCTCTGCGCTCCATCAACGGAAGAGCCGCCCTGGAGAAATGAGACACGAAACTTCATCAGTCATCAGCATGATACTGAAAGTGTCCAGCCTATTAGCCAACAATTGACATTGATCGTCAGCTAGATCGATGTCGCACGGCATGCTGGCAACAATCTTATCTTTCACTGACGTCGCAGCGGGAGGACTATGTCATAATATTGTAAATGATATTGTATTAAGGAGGCGTACGCCACGACCGCCCGTGCTGTCGCAGCGATCGTTGAGCCCTCGTTCCTCTCGTCCCCATGCCTGTCGATGATATTCAACCATGTCAAGGTCCTGAGAGTTTTTCTCTGCGTAATTAAAATATTTACCTCGAGGCGCGAACGGTCTGCCTGTGCGAGTGACCTTCGCTAATACCTCAAATATCATCGATGGACTGTTTATCGCAAGCGTTCAACGTCAGGAGGATTTCTCGCGGACATATCGGCGCTGCGATCAACTACCGATCGTGCTCCGGGTCAATTACTCGTGATTGAGCCGTGGGAATATTAGGGAACTCGATTTCGCTGCATTGAATGAACACGAAAACCATCGCGACGGTGATTTACTGGGAATCCGAGTCTTCCATTTGAGGAGCCGTTTCCCCACGAGGGGAATGTTGATAGACACTGTCTGCGAATCATCGGCGAGGCTGATAGATCGGTGCGGCCCGCCGGCCCCTTCCGCGAAGGTTTGCCTCTCCTACTTCACCCCGGGCTCTGCGGGAGTGCACAGTGCCGGTGCTCGTTTGGCAAACACGTGCCTGCAACATTCTACGTACGTAAATTTGCATGAAACAGGAGTCTCTCATTGATCACGTCAGCTGCCGCCGGATGACTGCCCTATACCTCCTGGAGCCAAATAGGGAACCGCGCAGCATGTAAAAACCCAGTCTCGATCTAGGTGTGTCCGAGCAGAGGGCTCGGAGAGCTCTTACATATCTGAACAAGCCGATGCTTTCATGTTGAGTCGCTTTTGACTGGCGATGAATAGGTCGAATGTCGAAACCTCGATTTCCAAAGCCTCGCTGTAAAACTCAAATCACTTTTAGACAATCAAAAATTTCAAAACACAGCGTCGGGGCCTTCGAAACAAGACCCTCCCAGCTTCCTGTGTCCCTTCTTTTTGTTGACGTCGTCCAAGTTTATTTTCCATTCTATGACAATAGATTTGAAGAAAGTCGTCGCGTCGACGGTAGCCGCCCGTTCAAAACTACACACGGAGCGCTCTAGAGCGGATTCATTCAGCACGTCGCTAGCGGATCTTTTTTCCCTGTCAAGTAGTCCTGGAATACTTTCCATGATGATAACTCGATTGAGAAATTGTCGAGTGTTACCAGCCGGGAATCTCCGAGAATCCGCTCCAGAATATCCCCGTCGCCGAGAGGCTGAAGCAAGAGAAAAGCCACAGCGGTACAAAGTTCTTGCTGAAAGGCATTGTTACGTCGCTGGGCCTCCTTGACAGATTTCTGGACGTTCTCCGATCACCGGGTCGGAACCGGGGCCCCAAGTTTTGAGGGCCTCCGATGTTGACCCCAGTCCGGGCCCCATGAAGTGGGTCACCGACACTTTCGCTGGGCTCTGGGCAGAGGCCTCCATGGGGCCTCAAGTGAAAGGGACCGTCGGCATCAGTTTAAGGGAGGGTGAACGGGTCCCCTGCCGACAACAAGCGCGATCCGCTTTAGAATGCATTGCAAAACTTCCCACCGGAAGCAACTGTCAGCCGCTAATATCAAAACCTTCCGATGCACCGGGCTGAATTCGAACATCTGTCCGAAGATTCGGACAGTCCCCCGTCAAGTCTCCCTATGAGCCGCTATGCATGTTTCGCCGGCCGTTACGCTAACTCGATATAGATCTCGGACCGCAGCCCAGACCGTAGCGTATGGGGTCCTCGGTTGGCATGGTGTGCCCGCTCCAGCTCAAGTTATCTGCTTCGTTGTAGCGTTTTCAAGTTAGGTAGTTACCTTGGATACACTTCGAGCGTGTGTCGGTTGTCAGCAAGCCGGCAAGCTCGGGTTTTCGCTCGCTCATTCTTCGAGGATAATTGAATTATCGTCGTCCGAGGAGCGGATATTGCTGCACAAAAGCATTGCGATAGCTTCAAAGGGTTTTTCTGCCCTATCTTCGAGATTGAGAGCTCCTCGATAACTTCCACGTCGGATCTTCTTCGGAAAGAGATGGATTGCTTCTCGCCAAGCTCTCCGCAAGCTCCTTATCGAAATCTCTGTTTCTAATTGATTTATTTTCCTCGTTCTGTTGCAGTGACGGCTCAGAGGGCGGCCGACAATAAGAACTGTAAGAAACCCGACGGTCTCTTCCCACACGACCAGTACTGCGATTACTACTTCGACTGTCAAAATGGAGAAGCTATTCTGCAGGCCTGCCCGAATGGTCTTGCATTCGCCGGAAAGAAGAAGGTTCGTACGGCGTTTCATACTCGAAAGCTCGTAAAACGCCTCGACGAGGCCCTATCGAAAATACAAATAAAATATATATTATGTTTCCTCCCTCCGCTCGACGTTAACAATCGTAAAACCATAGGGTCTGCTGGAAAATTGTGATTACCCTCACAAAGTGGGATGCCCTGACGAAGATAATCGGGTGATGGGCCAGAGTCCCGAAAGTTCCGACAACTGTCATTGGAAGTACGGAATTTTCGCTCACGCCACGTCTTGCACACGTTACTGGCAGTGCTGGAACGGCACCGCCACCAACCAACAGTGCCCATTCTCTCTTCTCTATAACGACGCCGCTCACGCTTGTGACTGGCCTGACAACGTTCCCGACTGCCAGAAGCATCGTGAGTATAGATTTGAAGTGTCTACGAATAAAAATTATCTACCTTGTTAGAAAAAAGAGGAAAATCCCAGAATAACGATCTCGCCTCGAATCGATATGAGTCCCGAAGCGTCGGCGAGTGCCGGATCAAGATAGTCAAACTGCAAAAAAAGTTTGCAAGGAAAATTCCGAAAAAAAAAACTCCCCGGTCGCGTGGATGACCCGCGAAAAATCCTGACGACCAGGATTCTCTCCATTTGTCCCAGAGCGCAACTATTCTCTCCGCTACTTTCAAGCTCCCATAAATGTCAGTGAGGGTAGACATTGACGGCCGATTCTCGTTGCTTTCCAGCCATCTGCAAGGACGTCGCGAACGGCCCAATCCCTATCGAGAAATCTTGCGCCCGTTATTGGCTTTGTGTCGGAGGATATCCTCGTCTCCAGCGTTGTTCCGCCGGTCTCGCTTTCAATGCTGAAACCCTTAAGTGCGAATTGGCCACAACAGTGGCTGGCTGCGAACCTCCTCCAGAGGCGCCCGAAGAGGATGAGGGAAAACCTCGTCCACCTCCCAGATCCGAGCCGGCTCAGCCTCGTCCCCAGCGTGGGCCTACCCGTCCTCAGCCGCAACCCCAGCCTCGACCCTCATCGCGTCCCCTTCAAGTAGCTTCCGTACAGCCCATCACGAGGCCACAAGCCCTCCCCCAGCCTCAGGCTCCTGTACAACAGGCGATTCCCGCTTTCCGACCCGTTGCCCAGACTGAGGCTCCTGAATACGAGTACGAAGATGAGGAAATCACTGAGACACCCACCACTCAGAGACCGCGTAGACGAAACCCTCAGTTCGGCTGAGCATGAGAAGTAGAGGAAGAGTCGGTGAGAAGAAGAAAAATAGGGGTTGAGCGAGAGCTCCGTGGAGAAAAACACACTCAGAAGGTCTTGCGGAACTTCGCCGTCCGCTCATGCCGGAGAGCTCTGAATTCAAAACTGTACATAGGAATGTTCGCCCTCGTTCTAAACGAAGCGAATTGCGAATCTCAAAGATATGCGCGAATCGCGATCGGGTATCAGATTTATATTATATAAAAACAAAATACAATAAATGGATTGAATTCTCGATTTTCCATACAAAATCGCATTTTCCCGAGAGGAATATTCCAACGCTCTGATGTCGTCGACAGGTATGCAGTCGGTCGCTCAATAGGGAGCGGACCCAGTGCGATCCTGAGCTGAACATAGTAGTTCGCTCCGAACGGATGAACACGCAGCCTGAAACATGGCGCAGAGCACTCGGGGCGGAGAGGGAATCGGGGATGAACTCCGTCGAGGGAACACGAGACTGGAATTTTCCGAGAAGGAAGTTTATTATCGGCTCAGATGATCCTGAACATGATAGAAATTTGATCAGTCGTCGTAGCGAAATCAGTCTAAAATCACTGAGATTTTAACTATAGAATATACTTGAGATCAGATTCCGGCTGAACGTCGGGGAGTTCCGCAGTGAACGCACGCAGCGAGCGACGCAGACCTCAACAAAAATCATGGCTGACAATCGTGAACTCGTACTTAGCATTTTCCTCACGCACGTATCAATTAGCATCGCACCGTGGAGCCTCAAGAGCAGATTATTATCCTCTTTCTCCGCAGCTCCGGATCAAAAGACCTTGGAGGGAAGCACTTCGGCCTTATACTCGAACTCTCGGCGCGGTCGCTCTCGCTCTCACTGAAACAACCTGTCAGCCAACCAACCAACACACGGATTGGGCGCGAAGACCCCTCTTAGCAAGGATTCGTCCTCTCGACAGTAGATTATAACAATATTTCTCATCATTATTACATTTAGACATAATACTTGATCCTTATTGGTATTATTGTCGTCAACATTTCCGCTTGTCGCCTCGAAACTTATCCGAGACAGACAGGTAAGCCCACAGGAACCATGCTCGTCGAGGTTCCTGGACTCTCTAACAATGGGCGATGCTACGTTAAAGATCACAGCCATGGCTTACGCCTCCATCGAGAACAAATCCCAGAGACCCAGAGAGGAGTAGGAGAATCGACAGTGCAGTCTTTAATCTCTCGCACGTCTTCCGATGTTGTCGAGTGGGGGATTCGACTGACGAGGAGAGCTCTCCTTTCTTAGGGAAATCTCGCGAACAAAGGGAAAAAATGACTCAAGGATATTCCACGCCAGTGATTAACATTCCCCGCCGATGCAGCTGCTGTGTAAGTCTTTGTTTCGCTGTGCAGTGTTTTTACCATGGAACGTAGCAGAAGAGCCGTCGCTGTGGCAAGTGTGTCCCCGCAACAGAGCGGCGCTCATATGTATGAGTCCAGCGAGCAGAACGCTATTCACCAGGCTTGATAAAAAACGACAGGCAGACAATGGAACTAGGAAAAATCCTTCTATACGTGATCGGATCCTCTGGACCTAATACCGGTCGATTACGTCCGAGAGATCCCCAAGCCGGGTTGTATCTACGTGATGCTGGGCTTATATTTCTGATGATGGACCGGGTTCCGCGATCCTTGTAGGCTTGTATTGAGCAAGTCACTCGGAGAATGAATACAGGGGGACATGCCGTAGCTTCATTACCGGAGTTCCCGGAATGAGGGTGACTTGAGGGCTCATTCGAGCATGCTCATCGTAAAGATACGGAGGATCGCTCAATGGATGGACGGATTGGATAGCCAGCATCGACGATACGGTGGGAGATTGTGGTTGAGTTGCATTTTCGCTTGAGTCGGTCCGTGGAAAAATCCCGGGGCAAACCTTGCAGCACCTATTGCTCGAGACCTTGGCGGAGTTGAACGGGAGCCCATCGATGCAATCATAGTAATGGCCCCGATTGCTGAGATACGAAAGGGGTACTTCGACTGACAGAGACCTTTTGCTCGAAGACTCGCGAACGATTCATTTCCTCAAAGAAGGTCTTCCCCAACAGCTCACAGGAGCTGCCCAGCCGAAGGAGAATGTGCTTGCGATGGGACTTTTCGATCTATGTACGTTGGGGTCTTCCATGGCTCACTGTCGTCGATTGAGACTCGCTCCGGAGCCCCAAACCTTAGGATGATTGCCCGAATTCCCATGGAGTATCGCGGAACGACCGAGGGAGAATGGCGGAATGCTGCAACGTTGGCCGAGCCCGCGCCAATCTATCGATGTCGAGCTCGCTCGATCGTTTTCGCGTCCGTGAGATCGGCTCTCGCATACTCCGTAGATTACTCTATTATCTTCGCTCAGCCAATTCACGCCTGGATGGTCTCGCGTGTTCTCAAGCAGCTCGTCTAGGTGGGCTCCCGATCAGTCGAAAGCATACATACTCATAGAAGCGCGATTGTCGGTCGAACTGCCGGCGAGATGTGTATTTGCAATAACGGCGATGGCCAGAGAAGCAGGAGAAAACACGAAATGAGAAAGAGTGACAGACACACTCTCGAACACAGCCAACGAAGCCTTGTCCTACTCGAGAGAAAGCATGTCAAGAACTGCGCGGTCAATAGATCAATACGATTCAGTGTGGGCGGCCAGATATTGGACCCCATCGACTGGAATTTCGCAGCGGACGCGCTGGGATTGACGTTACTACATCCGAATCGAAAGCGTGGGGCAGACGAGTGAAATTTGTTCGAAATCGACGTCGCGAGATTGGGAAGTTACGATTTCGTCAGAAGGGAGAACTTTTCTTTTTTTCCCTCTGCGCTCTCCTAATAAAAGCCATTCCCCCCTTTCCTTGTCTTTTGTCCCCCATCCTCCCGTCGACTTCTCGTGCTATCGTCGTTGCCGTTTCTCCCCTCTCTCGGTACGTATTCTCCGTGCTTTTCAGACACTCTCACTGGAACATCTTCTTCATGGCGGCTGCGACTTTGGCATCAAGTGAACCCATACGATTCTTCAGATCCTGTAGAGCTGACAATATTTGTGTGTTGCCGGGCTCGAGCTCCAGGGCGAGCTTCAAATCCTCGAGAGATCGCTCGTACTCCTGGAATATTCGTAGAAGGTAGATGAGTATGGAGGCCGGGGAGACTGACATTGCTCCACAGTCCTCGCTCTTAGCTAGTACGTTCCGGAGGACTTTGGAAGCAGGCGACTTCAGGATTTATTCTCCCAGAAGGGCGGGTCGGTAGCATTGTCAAAAACGCAACCCGACACCGAGCAATAGCAACGGACGGAGTCGAGAAGTCCGCCTCGAGTCTGAAGCTAGAGCCTTTCGGAGACTTATCCCCTGCGAACTTTTGACTCGCGTCGGAGACTTTCGGGCATGCGCTAAATAGACCGTTTTTTTTCCATACGTGGAAGGCGGACTGCTCATGCCAGCGCTCTGTATTTTTTCCCCTGCCGAGCTCAGCAGAGCTGGCGCAGCGCCAAGCCGCCAACAATGACGGAACAACGATAAGCAAGTTGAATTCTCCTCGGGGAAAGGATTCGTGACGCCAGACGTTGCCAGACTTCCCTCCTCTGGTCTTTCATTCGAATGCTATCGCGCCCCTGTCTCGGATTCTCTGTCGAGATCCGGAATTCCTCCAATCGGATTCGTTTCGAATCGTCCGTGATGGAGGAGAAATGAGGCGCGCGCGCACTCTCACGATCCCAAGAAAGACCCCGCTCTACCAGTGAACAGGAGGTCGGCTGTATAAAGGATCCTCAGAGGGAAGCGCCGTCGTCGGCAGAACACAAAAGGAGTTCATGAATATTTCATCTGAATCGACTACTTGCATTCGTGAAGCGGCCCGACGGCCGGACAGACCGGTCGACAGACAAACGAGCAAGCGAGCAGGCAAGCATGCGAGCGAACAAATGGGCATGTATCGAGTGAGCATCCTGTCATGTCGAACAAGAACGGTCGCTACTCACCTGTAGATGCATCAGACCAGTCCCGCGTCGAAAAAGAGCTTTAGCATTCTTCGAATCGATTTCCAGGGCTTTCGTAGCGTTCACAACGGCGAAATCGAAACTCTCCGCTTTAAGTTGACAGGCACACAGGTTCAAATAGACAAGCATCCGAAGCCGATTAATATTCATGTCCTGAAACGGTAAATTGCCAAGTTGCTGACTGATCTGCTTCGAGAAGGATTCAATCAACGACGTGTCCCCAAAACTTCTCACTCGATCGTTGCCCTACGACGCAATCGACGCATTTCGAATTCGGGAGGTCGCACGAAACTCCGGCGACATCTACCGACCGGCAACGATTGTTGGGAAACATCCTCGAACGGGAGAGCTTCGGGAAGTTCATCGACGATTCTATTTCCACGATGCTCGAACTCACCTCATCGTCGTGTTCGCTTGAAGGAACGTCGTGTGCGAGAGATATGATGTACTTAAGAGCCAATGAAAATCTTCTGAAGGCCCAATCCACCCTTCCATCTTTGAACAGAGTCACTCCATTGTCCTTGTGCCAATTCGCCAGTCGCCATTTTTCAGTCGTACTCATCTCGAAAACCTTCGGGGAGAGCGGGAAGAGTTTAGTTCCTGGACAGTGGACCTCGATGCATCCCGAGAGGAACTTTCAAACCGAGCGGATGAGTTCACAAATTAATCGGCTCACTGAGCAAGCGCGGAAGTCCAGCGCCCCAGAGGCCTGTTGTGGACAGTTTCGAACGGAATAATCATCAGGCGACGTAAACAAATCGAACATGAACTGACCTTGAGGCCACTGTTGAAAGCGACCAGTTTGAATGTTGTAGTCTTGTTTCCAATGCGGATTTCGTCAACCTCTCCGGGCCTCATCTTCATGATGGCTTGTTCCAGGGCAAGCCTTTCGTCTGTGCTGGCGTCTCCGAGGGTGAGAACCGTCTGTTGAGGGTAAGAACCCGATGACGAAGAATACATTAGAAGTTTTCCCGGAATAATTGCATTCCAAGATCTGCGGCGACCCCCCGTCTGTTGTCAATGACGATCGCGGCTCTCAGTATCAACGATAGCGGCCCATTCCCCACCAACACATAGCCGCTAGAGGAAACATTGGAATTGCGTTCAGTGAGCCTCGAGTGCGCGACCGTATGAAAGTGTTGATGAGTTTGCGTTGGCGTCTGTTCTATCCGAGTTCAAGTGTTTGTTCGCGTGGGCTCTAGTTGGTGTGTTCAGACGCTTGTCTGTATGTACGTAGTACGTAGGCAACGAAGGATAAGGTACGCATAAAAACAAACAGGTACCCTGCAAAAACTTGTCCTCCTACGCACGAGTACTGAGTAAAGCTCGACCACCGCACGGGTACAGCACAGAAGCGGCGGTCGTTTTGTAATATATTCATGGTCTTCAAACGCATCCGGTGAGTCCCCGAGGTCGTTGCAGCGGCTGTTGTGAGTACGTATAGCTCATTAGCTCACGTATAGCGGGGCCAGTTGGTAACGTAGTAGCCAACAAACAGCTTTCGAGTCCAGGCTCCCCGCGGACCCTTCTTTCTTCCGCTGAATTTATTCCCGGACTTTCCGATCAATACCCGCCGCCTGCTATTCTGTTCGCTCGGACTTCGGTGATTCCCAAGACGGTTCCCTCGGTGAGGGTGATACGGTGACGGAGTGTGTCCGCGCTATCCAACGTATCGATTCAGCGGCGTCTCTTTCCGATGTCATGCGTATCATCCAACGCATCGATTCCTCTACGACGGGTCGTCCTGCCAGTACGCCATTAACTTGTCGCGTTGGGATCGAGATCAATGTACGAGTCTTGCTAACATTCAATGGACGCATATCCGCTCGAGATGAATGGTTTTCTTCTCTCTTTTTCTGGCTATCCAAGAGAGCCCGCACAATATATATCTGTGCTCGTTGACGTATCATCTTTAAGGAGCGTTCATGGTGCGGAGTCGCCAGCACAGACACGATCCTTCGGGTCGTTGCACGTAAAGCGCGTGAGTTGACCGGATCTGGCGAACTCTGACTTCACGGCCTAATGCGCTAAAAAGTCATTTCCGCTCATTTCGATCGATGTTCGAGTCGCAAGGGAGCAGGAAGTCCCCAAATGAGGCCTCGCACAACATCAGAACGAGTGTGCCCTCACTGCATACTGATGGTATTGCTGACGAGGTGGTCGAGGCTTAGTTCCCTCCGCTCCTGGAATTTTACGAGCGCAGGAGTGCTCCGTACAATATTTTCTCTGTAGGGCTTGCTCCCGAGAGCCACCTACTCGGAGCGGATCCACTAGTAATGGAAAGCCATGACTCAGCAATCCGAACAGCCAGATACATCATTGATCAGGCAATCGATGGTTTGCTTCGATTTTTACGCGAGGATCGACTTCGATAGAGCGGCCGTTGTTTCCTTGCTTCGGACACTAATACGGTGTGATTGCTTTATCAAGTTTAGATGGACGTACAAAAATCCATTCTAGGATCAAGTTTGTACCCTCAGGAACGTCTGGCGGTGTCATTCCTCGTCAATTATTCAACGGCGGAGCCGACCCGAGGAGCGCGACCGAAGTTCCTAGGATTTTTTCCGCATGGCGCGCTCATCGGAGAAATCCGTCTCTTCATCTCATTCGAGATATAATAAGCCCCACTGATTGATGGAAAGAAATCTGACCACCCCAATGCTCCTCTAGAATCTTTGTTGCTCATCGACGAATTTCGCAAGAGATAGATAGCCGCCCCCGCTGCTGAGATTTCCATCAATACCAGGACCTCGCTACAAAATTCCTTTATCACTAATGGAGTTTATGAGAGCTCTCATTAGAGACCCATCTCGATTTTTTTCGCTTTGAGTTCCGTTCGCTCGTAAGCCTGAGATCGGTGCGGCCGTGAGATCGAAGTTGGCGGCGAGCGGTCTTGATCGATCGACACCGGTAAGCTCTGTCAATTTGACAAACTGACTCGTCGTCACGAACGAGGTCATCTATAAAACTATTATTCGAGAACTTTTCTGCCAGGACCACGGGCAGAGAGCGCGGACGGTGACCTCTGGTGAGAGCAGCGGTACGACCCGCGTTGAGGCCACGGGGGGTAAGCGTCGCCCCTCCTCCCGACCGCGAATTCCGAATATATATTTCCTAAACTTTTTTCACTGACCTCTTTCTCGGGGAACATGGAATCAGGATCCTCCATGACTTCAATGAGGCATTCGGCGCCATCCGTCGGCAGGTCGTATTCGTCGCCTTCCTGAAGAACTTTCCGAACGGCTTCCATCGGGGGTTTTGCCAACGACAGAGCGTTGTTTCTCCGTTTGTGACCTAGGTCAAAAATCGATCCTGAGCAATCGGAACAATCAGACACGATTCATTGAATTCCGGGGCCTAACTTCGGAAACGGAGCGTAAACACGACCCTTCGCTCTCACGACCAGTCACTGAATCATCCAATGTTGAGACTGGTTTGATTTCCACGACACCGGAATGCCGGAACAGCTGGGTTTTCTGAGTCCGGAATTCAGGCGCCACTCATCTGACAGAAAAGAAGGAACTCCGGGTTCTTTTGCGCGATTTTTTGAGGAAAGCCCTTCTATGGCGACGGATCTTGAACCTCGCAAACAATCACCTGTTTGTTAGTCGGGACGGCACCGCAATAATGCGACTCCAAACTTTCTATTCAGCTGGCACACATGTAGTCCAGCGGAGCGACCGAGGCTCTCGAGCTCCAACTCCGCTCTGAAAGTTCATCGGGTCTCCCCCAGCTGTTCGGCTCGAGATCCCAGCGGAGCGCCAAAATTGGGCTGTGTCGGTGCAGGCGCTGACGATGCGCGGAGAGGATCTCCGACAGCGGTATTCCTCGAGGTGAACTTCACCCAGACCGAATTCCATCGAAGGGTCGCCTCGCTTCGTGGGGAGGTGCTAAAGCCATTGTTCTTCAGCCTCGCTCGGACCTGGTGCGCAGTCATCTGATCATTGAAGCTGGCTGTCCTGTCAATTTCCATTCGTCGATTACCTAATTCCTGCGCGGCGGCTTGATCGGGGAAAAACGGAGCGTTCCTCTGCTGGAAAGCTGAAATCGGGGAAATGGATGCGTCCCGATCTGAAATTCCGTGAGCTTGAGGGTGGGAATATCTCGATGCACCGTTTCCGCTAACGTCGAAACTGCGTCAAGGTTCGCCGTTCGCTTGGTGACACACCCAAGGGAGCTTTTGAATGGGAGGATCGGAGCCATGGATATAAGAACCTGCATATGAATTGAAAAGGAATGAACAAAATAATTCAGGCACGTCATGCTAGGTTCTCTCGTGTCTAAGTTTCTCGTGATGATGAATCATGTCGGAAGATGATGCCCAACCGACATAATTGAAAACATAGTCGAGAGCGACTCTACAAGAGGCACCACTCCTCCTCACGCTACGACGATGTATCCGACTGACGGGTTCCGCGAAGCTTTTCACACATGTACATATTTGATTATCTTTTCGGATCTCGTTAGAGATGCAGCTTCCTGAAAGAGAAACAGCTGTTGTGCCGAAACTGAAAAGCGAGCCTCGAAGAAATCGGTCTCAGGCTTCACGCACAAGAACTCGCAGGCAAGGAAACTGAACTGATCCCACCAGCGGAACCGGAAGAGCGCTATCGAACCGGCATGCCGCGGAAAAATTTCTTTGTGATTTCCTTTTCAACTCCGCATCATTCCGTGATTCTGACGAATCTTCTCGACGAAACTACTCTTTGTACCCTTCCTTTGCTGTGAACAACTGATTCCCCTCCGACGCAATTTCCCACGGGAATCTTAGAGTGAAAAATGGGTCTAGCTGTATGACGTCTCGCGTCTCGCGGGACGGGAGATCATCTGAGGATACTAATGGCTCTTTGAGAAAGGGGAGCATGGATTCCTCCGGGCAGCAGGCCCACTTGTGGATTTCGTTTGACCTTCGGTTTCTGAAGCATCCGGATGAATTTGCTCTCGATGCGTGACTTTATTACGCTTCCACAATCCCCGGGATTCCACGAGGTCAGATCAAACATATTGGGGTACAGCTCCGAGTCAGATATTAGCAACACGTCACGCGTATATATATATATACATTTGAATCAGCTCCCTGATGTTCCAAGAGATCGGGGAGTAAACGCTCCGGGCAATAGCTCCAATATACCGAACTTCCTCGGTTTGCCGCGTCCGTCCACCGGACAGTCTGTGTAAACCTCAATATCCGTTCCGAACTCGACGATGAATTGTCGACACGCGCCGCATGGAGTTATTTCGGGCAAATTCCTGAAACGTGAGACTTTTCGACCGAATCGGTATTTGAACGGCTACTGGCAGGATATTCTCCGGAAGAATGTTTATGGGAACCTCAGGGATGCTCCCTCCGGAAACAACAAGGCCGTGTCTTGAATTCCCGGAGCGTGTCCATTAGCAGCTCCGGGAGCTCCTCGAAACTCGAAACTCACGACACGACGACTATCGTCTTGAAACTTCTGAAGCCCCTGGATGCTGCGTGTGTGAGGAGACCGCGTTCAGCACAGACACCCAGCCCGTAACTTGCGCATTCCACGTTCGCACCGGATAGGATTTTCCCGCACTGCGTCAGAACCGCCGCACCGACCTTGACCTTGAAAGCAAAATCTCTCCGTTATGGAAGAGCTCCTGAGAATGTCTCATCATCACGATACGGGAGTTGATCGGGCGTGTCGTTCCGCATGTGTTGCTTCCAGGAGCTTTCCCGTGAATCAGCGATTTCGGATGAGATAAAAAGAGGTAACGATGATGCGTCCGAGGGAACGTGGAAAGTTCCTAATGATCTTCAAGGGGAGGTCCGATCAACGTGCATCCAGGGTGCAGCCCTGCGGCACGGCAACGGTCTCCTGCTCGTCCGCGTTCACGCTATTCATTACTCCTTGTCTTCATTCTCAAGGTGTACAAGGATTCTCGCAGCAGGCGCCACGTATTCCGCTCACCGAGAAGAACTCGTACTGATACAGGTTTCCCCCGATCGGTAGGGAATTTTTATTCATCCAGGTCGTGCGACGCGACGTGCAGAAAAATGTCTGGCCTTTCTGATCGTCGTCGAGTACGGCAAAGAGTCTCAAAATCCGGCTGATACGACGGATGATCTTTCCCAGGCTGCCAAATCAAACTCACTTTCGAATAAGGACTATAGGAATTTTCCTTCGCTTCGTGAGCAGCCTTCAAGAGGAGTTCCAGCTCGTTTTCTGAAATCGAAGCATTCGATATATTAGCTTCATGACAGACGGTCGTTCCCCATGCCGATGGCTGCATCCATAAGAAATAGATCAAGCACCACTATAGGGCAGGGATCCTCGACCCGTCCGTTCTTTTCCGACACATGGCACATCAGAAGAGCGGAAGCAAGTGGAAAGCAATGATTGGGTTTTGAACCAAAACAAGCTCTCTCCGTGCTAGAGTCGAACCAGATGTTTTTATCGACCGACCTGTCGCCATCTTTGATCTTTGTGGCTCGAAGCCGAATGAGGACACCCTTCACACAAAGAGGTTGTCTCGTGCTGAAGATATCCTGGGAGCAGAAGAGGGTTTGCACCGCCTGTGTCCGTTTTAGTGCGAGGAAGAGTTGAGTGACACAGTACTCTGTTTTAGGTTCCCCTCCCTTACTCGTTTCCGCGCGTAAGAGAGAGGCTCCGGTTTTCCTCTCTCAAAACCCTAGTAAACAGTCTCGAATTCCTAAGCCTGTTACTCGGTCAAGCATAAAGATATCTCATTAGCACGAATGGGGAGAAACGAGAGCTTAGAGATAGGGTTTGATGCGCAGAGCCCTAATCAGGAGGCTCGACGCTTGCACTAGACTAGATCATCAGGGATCATATCGAAGGATTTTTATCTATCCCTAGGACGCGGTCTATTCTCGACCTTAGGACGAGGTTTCGATGTCATTCTCGAGTCGGCCATTCCCGGTGACCACGATTTCCGCTGTGCTAAGAGCTCTGGATGACATGCCATTACGCGCAAGAGGAAAGAGTCAATTTCAGTGGAGATAACAGTCGATTCTTATTGATCGATTCCAGCGTGGAAATCAGCGGGAAAATGGCAATTCAGAACCTTTCCAAAGGGGCGACATAGCATCGCTCTTAATTCGACTTCCAATACGGTCCCCGAACGAGAGGACTGAATATCTTTCATCACAAAAATTGTTCCAAAGCTCATGGATCTCAGCGATTCTCGTCCTGTGTTGATCGCAAAGATGAGCAGCCGCAGCACTTCAGTCGCCCGTAGGCTCCGCGGCACGCCCTTCAATCCCGTTACGAGCTCCGCTTCATCGACCGATAGTTCTCCTTGAAGTCCCTGTAGCCATAGGCTCCGTCTTCGAAGAGGGCGTCGTTCAGGTCGAGAAGCTCCTTGACTCGCGGAGAACAATCGAGAGGCTCCGGTCCGCCAAGAATATCCGGGAGGAACTTCCTGTCCACTTGCTGGTATAATCCTTCGAGATTCTCGCCATGGAGGTGCACTCTGCTAGCGATTTTGCTTGTCAGGAATTGGCTGGAAGGGAGAAATAGAGCGTCAATTTCCACCTTGAACATGTTGCATGGACAAGTCGACGCAATTTCTCCGTTCATTGCGAAGCGGGAGCCTCCAAAACTCCGAACGAAGACTTTCAATGATTCTCTCCACAAGACTCTCACCTAACAACGGCCCAGATGATGGAGAAAATGTTCGGCTGGTTCACAACGTGAATCGCCTTGATCCGACACGGGAAGCAGTCTTGGATCATGGTCACGATGCGCTTGAGATCCTTGGGCGTGAAATTCTTGATATGCGTCAAGGACAGCCCGGCCATATCTATGATGACCACAGTTCCTGGAATTTCAAGTCACTTTTCAAATAAATTCCTCGGAGGCACCAAGGATCTCATGGGAACATCGATCATTTTAACTCCAGTCACATGAGTGCACAAGTTGGAGAATTTTGTGTCCGTACCTTTGATGAGTGTTTGCACATCACGAATTGAGAGTTCCATCATAAGGAGGCTGGACATGAAGAAGTCTTTTTTGCTCAGCTGACTTGGATCCCAGGCCCCGGCTCGCACGATGAACAACGTACGACCCTGGGCGTCTTTGTGTGGGAGAACAGTGCAAAGATTGAAGCCGAAGGATCGTAATTGATCTCTGGGCGTATATCTGTTCTCGAAAATGTCGGGCGCTTCCTCTCGCATCTTGTAGTAGCGCGTGATCATCCTACAAGCTCTGTGCGGGTTGAACTTGGCGGGCCGGAGAAATCTAGAAGGGCGAGGCATAAGAGGATCGCTTGAATGAGCTCGATGATTGCTCCAATTTATTTGGCTCTCTGCTATCCGACGCGAGTTCACCCTCATCCTACAGACTCGGCCACTGAACGCGCTGATTCATGGGGTGCTGATTCTGGATAAACAGTGAACATACCGCATCAGAAAGGCATCATCGACCCTTGATTTGAGTCTCTTGTCTTCGCTTAGGAGCTGCAACACGGTTTCGATGCATCGGGATCGATTTTCGGGAGTCTCGTTGAGCTCGCACTCAGCGATCGGCTTGAGCTCTGGAGGAACAATGGGTTCTTCATCGATCACGTTCGCATCCATGATGTCTCGGAGTTCCAACCAATCTAGAAAAATGAATTTGTTTTAGTAAAGCATCACTTGGGGAAAGACCGCGCGTTCATGCGAACGTGGCTTGTCCAACGTGGAAACTCAGCTACACCCTTTCAAGAATCATGTTCGCGAGTCGGATCCTCGACCCAAGAAATCAAGCCGAAAGGGAACACTAATGCGTCAGTGGCAAGACTTGCGGGGGCCAGGTCTCGCAAGGTGGCAACCCTTTGCAGACTCTGAACTTCAGCGCACCCGGACGGCTGTCGCAGTTGAAGCAAGTGGATCCCCCCTTGCCCTCAGATCTGTTCCCGGCAGAACCATGGAAGCTTGAATCTCGCAAATTCAGAGCACTGTCCGAAGCTCCATTCTCGAGGATCCAACAGCATGAGCTTATCTCATCGCGCAGAGGGAATTGCAAACTCCCACGTGAACCAGGGCAGATTCCTTGCTAATTAAGTCATCTGCGCGGTCAAAGTTCTCAGACTCCAAGCTATCGAGTTGGTCAGCAAGAGGATCGAGAACATTCAACGGCCCGCCGAGGGCCATCCATGCGGCATTCTGGCCGGCAACCAGATCTTGGAATGATTGGAAACATTTCAAGCAGGGACTCTTGGCAAGTAAGATGGGCAAACTCGTCCACGTTCGTGGGTCGGGCGTCTGTCCGATACAATCCACTTACGGCACTGATAGAAAAATCATAATCCTCAACTTACTCTGTGATGAAATCCGGGGAGCCATGTTCAAGCATTTGGGGTTTACTGCAAAAGCCACCCGTAATGAAAGCGATTCGATTGTGGGACTCCGGTACCCGGGCACCATGCATTGAGACGACTTGAGAAACACCGGGTTCGAGGAGGTTGGGTGAGGGCATCGTGGGATGCGCTGCTCAACTCTGTCACTACAACAACAAATTACGGTAGCTGATGCCCCGAGCCCCGGACCCAGTCGGAGATCTCCTCCAAGTTAGGAAACATCCAGAGTTCAGCTGAAACAGTCCTTTCGGGTTATCGAACACCGCCCTGAAGCTCATGAGAGGGATCACGATCGAGAGTACCGAGAAATTCGTCGAGAATCTGGTCGGGACATGATCTTTCTTCTGATCCCTCCCAGATGAAGTTCAAATATGATCGCTACGTACGAACCCCTGATGTCGATGAATAGAAATGGTTCAACATTATCGGAAGCGAACGTTCGCTCCCGATCCGAAGATCCACCCGGAAAGCTTGAATTCATTGATGAACGAGCCCGAATGTCTGAGGAAAACCCGAATGGGAAGGGGTCTAATTGGAAGCATTGGACATCAGATTATCGAATGGAGCGAGACATTTCATTTATTCCGCTTCCTTGGATGGAGATCTTCGAAGATTTCTAACCCCAATGACGCAACTTATCCTCCATGGGACAAGGCTGAGGGATGAAGAGAACCAAACGCGCTTCAGCTCGTTCGGTCCCTCGATCAGGCTTCTCCGATTCGGCTCGAGAACGAAACTCTGACTCCAGAGCACCCCACTCTGTTCTCAGGGTGTCACGCCGAAAACTCGTCTCTGATGACTGAAAATATTGTAGAGCTCCGAGCAAACAAACAAAGCTCCCATCCCGGACGGCGTCGACGGATCCACTCCGCCGTCGAGGTCGATTCGGTCATATGTAGAGCGCCGCCTCCAACCACGAAACGCCTGGACCGGCTCCACGGACGCCGTCCTTCGAAGTTTCTCCGAATGCCGTCGACGACCCGCCGGAATGTCTCATCAATCTGATGTTTCGGTATCAGAGCGGTTCAGCCATCTGCACTACGCTGAAGTGTCTCATCAATCTGATGTTTCGCTATCAGAGCGATTCAGCCATCTGCACTGCGCTGAAGTGTCTCCCGGCATCCCACAATACGAACATGAGCCGCAACTAATTCATCAAAATCAGCGCCCGCCCACCCCGACTCTCCCGCAGTGGGAGAAGGGAGTCATTGTGATTTCGTTTCCGCGAACGGGCTCTGGTCTCTCGCTTGGTTTGGACTGACGATCGAACGTAGAATTGAATGCTTCCCGTTCTGGGGAAACATACTGAGCTCCCCGAGATTCAGCTCTCAGCCGTCGCGCGCCGCTCGCTGGCAGAGAGCGGTGGAACATATTGTGGCGAAATTTCCCGACTTCCGCTCGTTGTTTCCTCTAGCAGGGAGAGAGGGCACCATACGGCTCGGCTCCAACCTCTGAAGTTCCCCGCTTTGATCTAACACAGATTCATATTTAGATTGAAGAGTAGTTTCGCGGCTTCGCTATACATAGGTCGGCAGCGAACCGATTCTCAAGTGACACGGGGATGATTCTCAGCACCGAACTTCAAAGCCCCCGACGGAAAACTCATTCCTAAATTCCGTCCGGAAGATGAAGCCCGCGGGATTCGTTCAGTAGCGATGGGAGGCTAGGAGCTAAAATGGTACGCTGTGGCTTGATTTGACTCCATCGGGCAGCGACCCCGTTGAGCTCGGCATTTATGAGAGCGGACATTTTTGAGCAGGGCTCTCCGTCAATACGTAAGAGCTCGGTCGAGCTCCTCGAAGGACCCAATCACGGGGCTGCATTTCACTCGATCGCGTTTTACGGGATCACTGTACTATTTGCTTTCCGATCCTGGTAGATGATGTCTCGATTGATTACGTCTCTTTATGATCGATCAATTACATTGACGCGTGGAATTCGAGCTAATACAAGAATCAGGGTGACAAGGAAACGGGGGAATATAGAATACATACACCCAAGTAGCGTAATCTCTGAGCCTGGGGATCGAGCCGCAGAGGTATCATTCACCGTGATACTCCCTGCTCGTTCCAGAAGATATTTGAATTCGACGGGGGAGATTCGAAAGGGGGGAAACGAATACAGCTTGGCTTGACGTCAATGGGAGAGTCGTGAGGTCGATGCTCTGATTGAGACCTGCTTGTCTACCTTCCGAATATCAGGGATGATGTCGGGGAGTTACCGCTTCCTGACGACGATCCGTCAATTCTCACTCATCCTCAAGAGAGGGGAGCGAGCCAGATATCGATAACTCAGTCGTCATCCGCTCCGACTAAGTGGGGCTCCACGTCGCACTCTAGATGTGAGCAATCATCACATCATCAGTCAATCCCGCTCCTGGGAAAAATCCAAGGGAAGGTATCACCATAGATCGGAGCTGATGCGAGAGAATGATCCTGTCCCGTTTCAGGTTGCGATTCAGAACAAGGATCATCAATCATCGTCGGGCTTAGATTAATATTTATTGTCGGCTCGATTTTTCGAATTCACGAGCTGTTTGCGGTAGTCGTTTCTGCACTGACCCCTGGAGTTCTCGAACCGCGGTCTTTCCTGGCTCTGGGTCGCATCTCCAACATGCACTTCTCGAACGCAGCGAATTGCGTCGTGTCGCTGATCAAGGCTTTGACTTTCGCCTTGAGCTCCTGCATCGTGGCGTTGACTTGCTCCGGGGTCGGACGCTCGCGAGGACGACCAGTCGGTCTCGCGAACACGACTTTCAGTTGATCGATCGTCTCTTTGGACACACCGGCATCGTCGGCACACCTGATATGAGGCGGCGTTCTGCGATGGGACTCAGCAGCCACGACGAGCACGAGAACTACCGTAAGAAGACACTTCATCCTTCTCCGATACGAGCACGGGAGGATAGAGTTCCTGGAAATGATATACGAGCAATTTTCCCCGACGTGGTGGGCGAGCACCGCGCAGCTTGACAATGACGTGATTGAGATCAATGGCGTCGCTCCACCGGCAGAGAGCAATGCTTTTCGGAACGGACCATTCGAACAATCGCGCCCTAGTCAGGATCGGATTGTCTGTGGAACCATTCGCGACGAACAGATTCTCCGCGGATGGAAAAGCTGGTCGACATGTATACGTCCAAAACGCTATTCGGAGTCTCAGCTGCTTCATTCTGAGAGAATCTCTTCACTGAATTAGAGCACAAAAAAGACCGCGCTTCTGGCCAGAAGGACCTACACATCACGAGAAGCCGTGGTCGACGACGGATCATTCACGGGAAAAGCGTGAGCTCCCAAGTGCGGGACTCTGCTCCTGGCTCTCTCCGACCCGCTCTCGTTTCGCACAGAGGGGAATTCTCATTCATCCGGCTGCGTGGTAGGATGAATATTCCCGGGATAATTTCGAGATGATCTCGTCGGCGAGAAAGAAAGACCTTGACTCGAAACGATCAATGAGATCCTTGATGATTAAACACCAAAAGACTCTCGTCGGAATCTGATCCTCTCGATATTGAGACTCGCTCAAACGATTTCCGGAGGGGGCAATCGCCATGAGTGACTGACACTGAGAATCAATGACGGGGGCTTCTCCAGCAGCCGACCAAGTATCAGTGCCTTGGGCAGAGGGTGGCCCGGTCAGGATTCCCGTATCCTGACCGAGGTCTCCCTTCAGTAATTCTGACGTTCACAATAGGTGACGAGCCGGAACAAATACGTGTTCTCCCTATCCAAATAGAATCTCGCAACGGAGAGCTCCCACTGTTCGTCCATCAGATTGAGGTAGTCTCAAACAATGTGACGCTGATTCGACGTTTTTGGTATATTCTGCGTTAGATCTGAAACGAACCGCCATCCTCGACAATCACGAGAGTTAATAATTCCTTCCGATAGCTCCTTCCATGTCGAAGCCCCGGTGGGCCGGCTGGGACCCTCGCACAACTGTGAACTCTCAGAAGCTCAGGCTCATAATGTTGGCTCGTGACGCTCATACAAAATATAGGATACATATCATCATCATCGAGGTGTAACTTTACTATTATCTCATGGTAGGGGACAGAATGGGTGTGATCGTCACATATGAAAGAGTCCGTCGCGGAGGGCCTGTTGGATCATATGTGCGTTGCCCCTCTTGACTTCCAGAGACATCCGTAGTCGAAGGAACCCTACCGACCGATTTTCGCCAATCTCTTTAGAGAGCAGCATAGCCTCGTCAGCCCAAACGCCGTAGGTCTCTATTACGAGAGGTTCTACGACATATTCGCAAGGCAAGCGTAGTGGTTGAATTTTTCCCGTTCGCCTTTGGCTCCAACACCCCCACTGTTCTCGCCAGACTAGAGTAGCTGGCAGCGTTCGTATTCCTAATGATGACGTCCCAAATCAGCAGTTTTCCTCTAGGCCAGGGGGTTAGTATCAAGCCATCGGGGCGGATCTCGTCAGAGGAATTCAGGTGTGGAGGCTCGACGCGTTATGCGATGCCCATCTGGCGAGCGGCTCTTGAAAGAACGTCATTGACGGCGTTGTGGCGAGCCAGTCTGAACGTGGAAACCGAAGAGCAGCTTAGATGGTGGTAACCCTCGGAGTCTGCGGTGGATCCGCACGCGCAGAGATTTTCCGGAAAGAGAGGGATCTCAAGCCGGGGGCCACAAGCGGTTCAGAAGGATGAGTTCCGGAGCACGGTGCCAAGGTTTCCATCAGGGCGGACGAGTAGCCAAGCTCCACTGTGGGGACCCGCGGCGTGAGCGAATCGAATGCTCTCGGAAAGGTCACGGTCGAAAGCGGAGGAGAGGAGGGACGTGGCCTCCGCTACAAAAATTAAATATAATATAAAATTAAATATAATTAAATGCATATCATGGTCCCCGAGCCAGCGCAGAAAGGAGTTTTCGCTGGAGTTTTACCTTGAATTACGACTCGATGTGCTTCTCTTACAACCGAGTGTTTATCTGATTATTACTGAAGATCGTCGAGCAGATCAGAGAGCCGTGTCATAGGTTTCATCGCACAGTATTGACTTTATTCATCGATTCATTCAATGTACAATAACGCAATTTGTGTCCATACCAACGTGGTTCGTTCGTTGTCTGTTACTCTATCCTCCTCCGTCCGACCCGAAGTGTAAAAATGTCTTGTCAAGGTCCGATTTCGCATTTGTACTAAATTACACATTCATTCACTACCGGTGTTGGCGAAAGATCAATTTACAGGTCGGGTGAAGTCATACGCCCCGGCTCCTCGAGTGGATGAGTCAATTTTTCTTCCGGGAACAGCTCCGGGACGTATGCATCGACACGGAGACCACCATGTTTATCGTAAAATTCCTCCGGAAAAACCGCCAAAACTCCCGGCAGACTTTTTACAGCGGAGTGGGTCGGAGCGCTTAGAATTAGTTGTCGGAGATCATCCGATAGCTTTATGTACGTATAATATCAAACCTCGTGTGAATGAAACGAGCACTCCGGACTCAAACACGTCCTTATGCGTCCTTTCTCGACGAGTTCGGGTACAAGATGGAACTCTTCAAGCACTCAGACACGCTCACATGAAGAGATAGACGATTCGGTGCATCCATACATCATGCCAAGTGTATTCGGAGAGGTCGAAACGCGGTATCTTGCGAAGCGGTCGGAGGGATTCGTCCGCAGGACCCTCGGGGCGAATCCTGGGAGCTCACCACCGTAATCGGTCTATACCCTCTGAGCTTGCAAGTCTAACCTGTACGATCACGATTCCGGTAACTTAAGAAGATCGATACATCGTCGTCGATTCATGCGTCTATTCCGCTACACCGAAGCAGAGGCACTATCTGGTTCCGAGGGTACCGAGGACTCACCAGTGTTCGTGTCAAAAACTCGAGTTCCACCAGACATTTCTGATTGTTTCCTTGAGACCCCCCTCCAGACTTTCCCCTTCCACACAGGCCTCCCTGATACCCCCGGTCCTTTTTGACGCTCCGAACAAGAATTCAACTGCGTTGCTTCCAGCTTAACATAAAGTCCCTCTCAATAAAACACGAGTTCAAGAATAGAAGGCGACCTGCTCTCGATCTAAAATAGATGCGAGCTAGGACTTCTGGTGTAGTCGATGAATTTGCCTAGGCCCAAGCTTGGCGGATAGTGGCCGCGAAGAACTACAGATGGACTTGGGATTTTTTCCATAGAGTCACGCGGGTGACCCTACGCGCTGCGGCCAGAGTCTGATTCTTCCGCGCGAGCCCAGCCTTCTCCGACCTGTGAGCCCAACGAATATTCTCCAGCAATGGCTTCAGAGAGCGCGAGTTCGTCCCGGACACGGGTTTCGCCGCAGAGTCCTAATGTACTCTTTGAGATCCACATGGACCGCTCAAAAACCAAGAGGCATTTACACAAAACACATTCGGACGCGATTTCCCTACTCTCTTCGGAGCGGGTGGTTGAATATGAAGATTCGCTCTATGATTCGGAGGGATCAACCCCTTTGAAATCCGATTCTACACGTCTGCTTCGAATTTCCCTGCCAGCACTTGAGATCGAAGATGTTCGACGGCTGTTCCTTCGAAAACTCTTTTGATTCCTCGTGGGAGACCCCGGCACGACGTCAAGTCGAGTTTTCTGAGCCGAAGACATTTCTCGAATACCATCTGGAACGGAATGAATCTCGACGTTAGCCGAGCGCGTTAAGACCGGGAACGGAGTCCTCTGATTACCGCGGAGCCGCACGGGCGATTCGGGCGCGGGTCATCACGTGTTCCGCGCTCCATCAATACTCAGAGCCCGGTGATCCCGGATGTTACGGCGTTACCTTTAGCGTCTCGAAGGATACTGCGGACCCTCGAAGGCCCAGCTCGTAGACCACCGGAGGGGTGTCGGCGTGCGTTGCTAGTGCTTGCAGGGCTGAATCTATCGCGGCTTCATGAGCAACCCAGCTGACGTCGACCACCTTCAAACTGTGCGCCCACTGGGAAAGAAACCGACGACCGTATGTAGATGCGCTACCACATATGCCCCTTCAGATGGCGCTCCACGCTCAACAACGATCAGACATGAATAGGTTCCGGCACTGGCGAATTCGAGAGAACTGTACAGTCAATTACCTTTTTGAAGACGAGTTCGACGTCCGGATTGGTCATGGCTGCACAGTTGGACAAATATAACTGGGTCAAGTCCCATGTTGGAATCTTGACCAGAGCCGAAACGCTCAAGCCTCTACAATTCCTGACATCGATGAGTGTCAGCTTCTCGGATTTCTTCAGTATGCGGTCGAGAGTGACATCGGTAATGTCGTCGCAGGCTGCGACAGAGAGTTCCTCCAACTTCGGGAAACCAGGAGATCTCGCCAATTCCGATGGATGGCCGGTCGTTAATCTTATCGGCGTGTTTGCCAGTCGGAGAACTCTCAGATCAGGACACGACTCCTGCATCCGCTCCAGAGGGAGCGGGATGGGTTGAGTTGTTGATTTCACGTTGGATAGGTCGAGCACCTGGAGCTTCGGCAACATTCCCTACGGACGGACGAACAGATGTTCAAGTTATGGTTGCGCTCCCGGATCTCGGAGCGGTGGGAAATTCGAGAGCTGAACGATACTCACCGGGAGGGTACTCAAGATCGTGCCGAGCGCCACCACCGTATTCTCCGCGAGGGACAAATGCGTGAGCCTAGTCCCGTGTGCTTGCATCAAGGACTTGATGAGACTGGGCGTGCAAGACCCAGTCGACGAAGCTGACTTGCTGGTACCGGAGAGATCGACACCACGAAGGTTGGCGCAATTATCAATTATGTACTTCACGGTCTCCGAAGTTATTTTGGGATTATGAGCCAGGCTGATCATCTCCAGCCTTGGACAGTACTTGATTATAGCGACAATCGTAGAGTGTTTTATCGGGCCGAAGTTCGACAAGTTTAGCTCGATTATGTGTGATAGCTGCCCGGACCTCAGCCAATTACATAGTTGACTCTCGCTCGTTCTCAATTTCGTCATGTCGAGTTTCTTCCACAAGGATACGTCTTGTGCTACGGCCTTCCATACAGGACAGACTGACTGCATACTGGAAACCAGAAGACTCGAATTAGATCCATCGATCCTGCCTGTCCCGGGAGCATGTGTGAGGATCGATCGCAAAACGGAAATATCTGATGGAGTGTGGAGTATCCACAACATTGAAGTGCTTCTTGTGAGTGGTACACGCTCTGCCTCCCAGAATTCCAACAACTCAAGAATTTTCGGACGCAGTGTCATACTGTTCTTGATACTTCACAGGGATAAACGATCGAAGCTCTGTGTCTCATGATTTCATCCACTCTCTGGGAGTTGGATAGCTCGAAAAGTTCCCACTTACGTCACGAGGAACGGCAGCACGCCAACTTCGTCGACCGCGTGTTGGAATATTTTCAGGAGTATTTCTCTCGGTAACCTGCTATCCCAGAGACCCGGCGAAGGCACATTTTCTGGGCGATCGCAAGGCGGAGGCACATTTTCCGGGCGATCGCAAGGCGGAGGCACATTTTTCTTCTTCAGAACTAGCTTGAGTGAGTCCCCGTCCACATTCTCTGCGATCATGATACTCCGCTCGTGGCTCCTACGTTTCTTTGCTTTTCCTTCGCCGTTCTTCTTCGTGTGTTTCCGCTTCTTCGAGGCGAACTATAATGATCGTACGTACTGATTACGAGAATCAGAGAATAAATTCCGGGCAAGGGGTGAAATTTCAGCTTGTCCAGTTTAGCGGAGAACCCGTTGACATGTGTGTACCGACCTGGTGAGGTGAACCGCGAGCCTTCTTCTCGGGGTCTTTCTTCCTCTTCTTCTTATGATGGTTCGCATCGTCTGTTCTGAAGGACGTTTCAGGTTTCCCGGTAGAAGATGTCGCAGTCGTGGTATCGGGACTCCTTGCCAAGACCGGACTACAAGCTGTGGTTGGATTGCCGTTGTCCCACGGTACGGGTAGACCCTGAAGAGATCGGAGAATTGAGCATCCGGACATCCGAGCCCGAGTCGTCTGCTTGGGATCCAATTCGGGAGAAAGGATTCGAGCCGGGAGTTTTCGGGTTTAATTGAATTGATTGGAAATCGTATTTAGACGCTCCGTCTTGTTCCCGAACCATTCTCGTGCAATCTCTCAAGCATCATGTCTCGAGCGTCCTCCGTCACGATGGAAATATGCGTGGACGTCCCGCACCATCACTCGACAACCGAGTCCACCAGACAGCTCGGAAAAGCGGCGTGAGTGGAATCACTTCTCGATCTCAATTCAGCCGGTATAATTCCACACGCGCGGATTATTGTCGCTGTCCCCAGCAGAGCCGAAGATAAATATTCTGGACTTGAACACTTGCGAGTGTAAGGAGTGGGACCCGATGACGATCCAGATCGTTGACACCTGTGACCTGCATTTCCTCCAGAGAAACTATTCCGCGGAGGGTCAAATGTCTCCACGGATCACAATCACGCCCACACTCGTCCTAATGAAGAGAATGATCGACTCCCCGAGAGGAGGGCAGCACCCGACGACTTGACGTTCAAGCCTCTCGACCCTCGAGGATTCTCTCCATCCGTCTCGTAAGGATTGAATATTTTATTTCGAGAGTTTCACGCTCGCGGAGCTCCACTGCTACAGAGAAACCTGCGTCGAAAAACCGGATCGCCCCCTGGTTTAAGACCCTCATCAGTCGATTCTTCCAGACATTGCTTCACTCTTCTGCGATAGCTCGCTGGCCGATTAGCCTCCAAGGTTGTTCTTCCCCCCCCCCCTCAAGAAGAGCTTTCCATGGCTGAGAGCTGCGCGAAACTTTCGATGAGCGGATTTGAAGGGAGCTGCCGACAGCGGAACCTACCTTTTCGGGGGTGTCGTTGTCCTCAGCGTCCATACGGTCTCCTCCGTCGAAATCCGGATCGTCTGAATCGGAATCAGAGGGGAAATCTCGATGATTCGTCGAAAACGAGAACAGAATGGGCATCTTGAGAGAGCATCACCGTTCGGAGCAATCGAACGACACTCGGTCCTCTGAGGATGCCGAGCTCCCTGAAAATTGAATGCTTCACTGTGGATTGGATGTTTTGAATCATACTGGAGCAGATTGCGGAGTCTCTGAGCATGCCACGAGAGAAGATCATGTTTTCCTTCACCAGGGACTAGTACAGGGGTGTCGAACTCGAGGCCCTTGGGCCACATGTGGCCCGCGAGGTCTATTCTTGTGGACCGCCACCATTTCTTCACATACTCGGGGCCGACCTTGTTAGAATGAGTGCTTGGGAGTTGAATGTGATCGGTGGAATTAATCCCTCCGTAAGACCGAACAAACGAGTTTTCCCCCGATCCCCGGAGGCTGGAAAAGCATTCTTCCATGGACGATAGGCATATATTCTCCTTTTATACGAAAGTAAATTTTTAATAGGGCCCGAGAGCACCTGCGGCGTCGAATGTGGCCCGCCAAATATTTAAGTCTGACACCCCTGGACTAGGACCTTCTCGATCGATTCGCACTGGCGAAATTCCTCAGGAGAGACCGATGGGCGGACTACCTCTCCGCAACGATCGCCACACAAGCCGAGGTGGAGTTAGAACCTATTTGTACAGCTACTTTTACGGACTCGTTTGCACCTGCACGGACGGTCGAAGATCGAGCGTTCCAAACCAACAGGTCCACGGAGCAAGCGAATCTGTTACATTTTCACTTCCGGTTCGCGTCGAAAGCCCGCTCTATTTCCTCGGACCTCGGAGGTGGTTCTTATTTGAGAAAATGTGCTCAGGAAGTCTGCTCTCTTCCGTGGATCGATTTTCGAGGCTCGAGTCAGCTCCACTGCCCGCGGAACTCGTAGCCCTCACGGAACGGGAGTCATGTGGCATTCCGTCGTAGATTTCTCCCGTCGACCAGCAACATAGATCAGGAGGCGCTTGAACTCTCCCAAGACACACAATATTCAGACCGATGCTTACAAACGCACAGCATCTGTCTAGACCCGCCACAAAGTTGCAAGAGCGCTCCGTCGCAAAATGTGTCAGGAGGCGACCCCACTGAGCCCGCCAAGTTCCGTAAACAAGAGCGAAACAGCGAATCGAAGAAAAAATCCGCCCCAATCGATCGAGAGTCGAATGAATCCCATAGAGTTCGGGGGACTCGATTCGTGTCAATCCATAAACCAAATAATCTGCGGACCTCTAGGATTGAGGGCTTGGCAGAGAGTCCGAATAAGTCAGCTACTCTGTTTCATCCCCTTCTCGTCGTTCCCGAAGATCCAAACAACAGCTCCAGACTTACTCGCACAGGAAAATCTCATTCACAAGTGACACAAGTCCAAAGCAAGGCTCTTTCGCACTCTGTTTCTGCCACGGTTGCCGCCAGTGCAACACGGTCCACAGTTGTTCGTTCACCGCCAGCACTGAACTCGCTGCTCCTACTCGGTCCAGCAGTCAGTGGAGTCGTCGTCGCACAGTTTTTTTTGGAAGGCGGGCGGGCTTTCGTACCGATGGCTTGAGCCGTCAGTCGATAACCAAGTCACTGCTCAGCTGCTTATCCTTCGCCTGTGGGCCGCCCCCCAGTTGCCTGGATCCTGCAGATCAGAGAGAGCTCCGCGTTACAGCACTTGCGTTGTTTTGGTGCGACTGCTGTCGCTGCAGATCTGATGGTGCGCCTGTCGCCGCCGTCTACTTGTCTTCTTGCGAGAGTATGCCGTGTGTGTGAGCGAGCCAGCGGCGAGCGAGCAGCCCGTATGTAGAACTGCTGCTGCTGCGACGACGACCAGCGTTGTTAGGCCAGGATTCAGAAGCAGCGGCGGCATCAACATCAACAACGCGCCAAGCGCCAGTCGTCGACGGTCCAGCCAGGTAGCGGTCGTCGCCAGCTAAGCGAGAACTCCTGTGTGAGTGTGAGTGAGGCTCGACTCTTTCCACGTCGCGGCGGCGGCGACGGCGGCACAAGCCAGCATGATAGTGCCGCGGCCGCTGTTGGTTGTAGTAGTTGTCGGAATGGAAGCTCTCGGGGTGATGTCGGTCGCGGCACCCGCTTCGGTTCCTCCGGCACTCGCTCACTATCGCTGCTCACCGCTAGGTAGCCAGCAAACCAACAGTTAACCGACGACGACCGGGTTGACGGGCGAAAATAACCAAGTTCGAGCTAGCGGTGGCGCGTTCCCTCATCAGGACGGTGGGCGCCATGTTCGAGTCCTGAGCGTTTCGCAACGTCGATTAAGCTTACTGCATCGGTCCTGGTGGCACCGATTCGCGTGACGTCTGAAGATCTACGCGCCGGTCGCGCTGACAATTTAGTCCTCTCCACTCGTCGACTCGGGTAACGAACTCGAGCCAGGAGTCGACGCGGGGAAGGGTCGAGCTCGGGCTCGCCTCGTCGAGCAGGAGGGTAGCACGTCAAGGGAGGACTCGGCAAAAGGCCACGGGAGACGGGATGACGCGCCTCCCTATCCCTATGGGGGATCGCGTTGGCGGTCTCACTCGGAGCGGAATCCTGAGCGAGCCTCATTCATGTTTCTTGGGAGCTGTTTTCATGAATAGTTGTTGTAATGTGTCACCGCTATCATATATTTAGGCAGAAATCATCGGAAATTAAATTTTCAGAGGGAGGAACGATTTTCATCGCTCAGGAAATCTTTGGAAATCGCGGAGCTCTCCGAACGGGCACGAGAGTGCTGAGCTCGTGACAGGGAATTTTCACGCATCCATGGTCCCGACCCCGGCTCTATCTCCGAGAAGTTGGTGACCTCGCGGACTTCCTGCGTTCGACGCAGGGAATACTGATTTGAGCCCGTCTTTTGATCCTTGACGTAGGAATGGAACACCTACTCTAGAATGTTGAGCTCCGCTTCCCCCTATCTACATTGATCAGATCCCTCTCCGAGCGATCCTGAAACCATGACCTCCCTCAGCGACATGGAATCGGATCACCTATCCTTAGTCTCGACTCGAGTTCAGAAGAAGGCTGTGAACTACGGCAAGATACGCATCGAGGTCGAGAAAAGCGTGGAGATAGCGAATTGGTCCCTTATCCGATAAGGTCCTCAGGAATTCCTGATCGAACAGTTAAAATCCTCAGGTATTTTTTTATAAGAAATTTATTTAATGCAATTGAATTTGGGATATATAGGCGCATAATAGTTTGGTGTTGTGGTTGTTGCTGTTGGTTGTTTCATGTCGGCTTGGATTGATTATTTGTCAGTCCGCAGCACAGCTTCGTTTTCCGCTTGAGATGTCACTCTGCGATATTGCACGGCATCACTGAACGTGCTGAAGATGTTGTGGGTCGATGCTGCCGTGGGTCTATGATCATCGTACATTCCTCTCTTTCTCTTCTTCAATTCTTAACGATTTCTCAACGAGAGACCAGGATCTTGTCGACGGCGCTCATTTCATAGAGAGCATTCAATCGATCATCGAATTTCGCATTCCGATCCAGATTTCTGGAGCTATTCCGTCGTTCGGAATCCCGAGGTTCCTGGATAGCCTGCCCCGAACGAGCCACCGCCAAAAATACCCGCATCCCTGTGATGGGGTTCTGCCGCTTTAGACCAGTCTGGTTGTCATCAGGAGTCAATCAGGACTCTGAACCCTTCGTTGACGTCCTGGCGACGACAAAATCTTCGCGGTGCCCAGTCAGAAGTTTTTTTTCGGAGTCGGAAAGCCAGCATCTCATTTCGGAAAAAAACGCGCGAGAATCTTCACGCGCCGCACCTAATATCCGCCTCACTTTATAAATTCCACAGTGTCAGGTCTATATTGTTTTGCTTGGTATTACTCTTCGCAATAACTTTGTACAAGAAATATCATATCATCTGAAAACGATGCGATCCCCACATCTTCCTCTCAATAGCGTTTTTCTTCTTGCTGCACATTCTCTCGCTTGCTCGCTCGCTTTCTCTCGGTGTATCATCTATCCATTTACTCTGTATTTTTCCTGCCTTTCAAGTTCACTTCCTGGATCTGTTCATTCGCCTAAAACTCAAGAGGGCTCTCCGAACGGCAAACCAATCAAAAACTAAACAGTCCGCTACTTCTGCGGCTTCTGCGCCTAACTTGATATCGACATACATTCTTTGTATAAGTTTCCAGTTACATCTCTTTCGGTTTGGGTAATGATCTCCCGACGACGCTTCCCTCGACTTGAATCGACTAAAGTCGTGGATCCTTCCCCTCCGCTCCGGCAACCTTCGATCTACAGGCTATAGTATGTTCACAATGTTGCCGTATGTTCACATGCATGCGCCAACCAAGCCATCTCGCTCGTCTACATGCACGCACATCTACACACAGAGCACAAAGGGCTCGCATCGGCGACTCTCATCTTTCCGGGAGTCTCGTTCGACGCGTTCTCCTCCACAGCAAATCACTCGTTTCTAGCATTCAATCACCGCTCTGATTTTCACTCGACGAAGTCAGAGAATAATTATCCTCGCAACTCATGCCTAGGCCAAGTGTCGCATCTGAAAGCTAACTTCCAGATCGGTTGTCCTAATTCCTGCGGATAACCCCCACGATGGGAATTACAATGATAATAATAGCATACAATGTAGTGTGTACTCTACATCGCCCACCCTTTGTACATCCGCGCCGGAACCGCGTTTCCTCCAATTCGCAGAACACCACTAGAGGATTCCGACTTATGAAGAAGAAAGAAACACCAGAATCAAGATTTACAACTCTCGTTTCTTGACAAGTTCATATATTCCTAGATTCCACCCACCGAACAGAAACACTTGCGTCTCAATCCAGATCAAAAGCAATGCATCATCGCCACGAGCTACCCTTCGAATCTCGGAACGCAAGCATCAAACGCGCTCAGCTGATCGCGTTTCTCCCTCGAACAAATGGACTGAATTAATTGTTTTCGATTTCCATCATTTATATCCTTCACAATATAACTGTCCATAAATAAGCGGCATTCCCGAAAAAAAAGTAGATAGATGGAAGGCATCATCGACGAACAGCGCGAGAAATTCTTCTATCAGTCTGATGGATGATAATCAGTGGGTGCTCCACGTGAATGAAGTCATCGATCTGAAGTAATCAAGACCGGACGATTCGAGAATAAATCCTCCTCGCACCAAGATCACGAGCTGTTGTCTCGTGTTGTCGTCTCTCCTGACGTAGGACTATCGAAATGAGTCGGGGTGAATCGATAGATGGATTGACATTCGAGTACGGAATAAACGAGCCAATGGATTAGGAGGGGATCGCGAGGGATGTGTTCAGCTATGGGGTGATCTCGAAAGAAATTACTTTCCTTCCGTTCTTCTAATAAGATTGTGGTTGTTGTTACTCGGCACGCCTATGATACAGTATATCTCTCTTCATATTCATTTCGTCTCCTCTCGCCGTCGCCACCTTCGTTACCACGAATATATGCTCGACCACTTCATCGAAGGGCTCTAACGGACGACAGTCAGGTCGACAGCTAAAATAAGCATTTTCTCTTTCACAGTTGGCGTGGACGCCCGATCGCACCACGCGCGATCGCCACCATCTCGATCGTATTCCTAATCATCATCATCATCATCGATTCCAACAGAAAGTAGATTCAAAATTGGATTAGTGGACTCAAAAATGCTCATGTTCTCATCGTCAGCGGACTCATCACACCATGCAATTGATTGGTTGCTTCGCGCTCTTGCCCAATAGGCCTCGAATCGATCATTCCCCCGAAGCTATCGTCTCAATTCGTCGCTTCACACATACACATTGCAATCGTACGGACACAGGCAACTCGACCGATGAACCGACGTTCGCTCGGTCGTTCATTCACACACTCGCATTCAGGTGTTTAGGGAGCGCAGATGGTTTTAATGGTTCAAACGTATATTTCCGTACCTCGCTACTAAATGAATGAAGAGGGAAGAAGGTTTACAGGAAGAAAACAAAGGAAGAATGTGGGTTGATACAGCGCCATCGAAGAAGTTTGTTGTTTTGTGTCGTCCCCCGAAATTTGCTTCTCCTAGTCCTAAAAAAGCAAAAAACCCCGTCTACGTCTAACGATCTGAGCCGCAACGAGCCAACAATTGAGGCCGATGCGTGCATGTCGATCCTTCTATCTAAACACCTGTCGGTCGGTGTATGGAAACCCCATCCCTATTCATTTACAGATACGGATCGATGCAGGTTCGAGAATCAATCGATTGCTAGAACCCTCGAACAACTCAATTCCGCTCGTTTTTTCATCCATCGATGGTTGCTAGAGGAGTTCGCTCAAAGAATCAAAAAGGCCATCAATGAAACATTGTCGTAATAGTAATTTGTCACAAAATCAACAAAACACCGAGAGCGTCTGCCTAGCATTCGCGGATAGAGTTGACGCTAAGTCGACGCTCCACACTTAAGAATTTTGTTTTTCTCCCTCGTCTCAATTTTCCGCGGTGTCCGATGTTGAATCGCTGTAGATTTTCGGCTTTGATGATGTAATGTGGCAATCGCTTCGCATGATGAGAAAAGAGGAATCGTTGTCCAGGATGTGTTTCAGGATCGCCTGCCAGCTTCCCACCTGCACGCCGTCCACCAAGATGATTCTGCGTCTTGTCTCCTACTCGTCGTATTGCACACTCACACACACTGACAGCTGGGGTGGAAGGTGGTGGTAGCGGCAGGTGGCGGATGCGCGTTCGATCACTCGTTCAGATCTTCTGTAATTTGGCCGCCTGAATGAGAGGATTGCTCCTTTCCAACTGCTGTCTGCCCTCGGTTTTGTAATCATGTCCACAGTTGTGCGCCTCTGCATAACGGTGCGTTGCGCAGAAGTTTCCACCGCACCTAAGGAAACGAGAAATTTCGTTATTATCGAACAGGACCTCGATCGACCGATGCTTCGTGGGTCGCGACTAATGTGGTCGCAGACACCAAATGCGGACACGTGGCCGACGAATGGAACACTGGGTAGAATAGAATAGTGGTATCAGGGTGCTAGAGAGCTCACCTGCAGGTGTACGACGACGCTAGGCCGGTCTTCTTGTTGCACACAAGGCACCGAGGATGCTTCTTCTTAGGCGGCGTTGCGGTACTCGTCTCTTTCGCCTCTTGGACTGTGACTTCCGGCTCAGGAACTTCGTCCTCGACTCTGTGCTCGACTTTCACCTCATCCTGGGAACAGAACGCTCGATAAGTTCCCGACAGGCGACGCGAATCGATTCAAATCATGACGTTGCTCCAGGAAACGGTCTCGGATTCCGACCTTGGACATTTTTTCTCCCAAAAATTGACGAATTTTGACCTAACTCGAATTTTGACTGAACGGACCTCACGGGTCCTAAGAATTTTGACTGACAGGCTTCGTTATTATTTCATTTTATGAGGAAAACCCGCGATCCCGAATCCGGACGCCCTCGACCCGGAATGACGAGATTGATCTCGATTTGGGTTCGGAGATGGTCTTCACCAACGCATTTACTGACCTTATTTGCAGGAGCAGCGGCTGCCGCGGTGGCGGCCGTATCGTCGACGGTCTGAGACTGAAGTGGAGTTGACGGCGTGGCTTGGCTGCTAAGTAACTGTCCTCTCGCACCATTCAGCTGGCCTGAAGTCGAGGAAGCACCGGCAGATCCTGGAGCACTGGTGGTGCTTGTTGGACTCTGGTTGACAGACTGGGGCCGCTCCACCACCGTGGGCGAGTTGTCCGCAGGGGGAGGTGCCGCCGCTGCCGAAGAGCATCGACCACTCCCAGACGACACGTCTGCAACGTATGAAGACGTGAGTTTTAGATTCTCGTGCGGAGGACGGACCGGGACCACGAGGGAGACGAGCGGTCCGGTCGCTCACGGTCTCCCGGAGCTTTGAGAACAGCTGATCTAGCGAGGCACTAACCTTCCTTGGACGCGTTCTCTGTTGTATCTGCGGTGCACCTGAACAATCCCTTGTATGGACTGACGAAGATCGCGTCTCCGCCCGAAGACGACGATCCCCCCGATCCTGAGGTACCGGCAGTTGGATAGAAGACCACGTTTCGTTCGACTCCCGAGGCGTAGCTAGATGAAGACTCGAACGCCCCGCCACCGTCGGCCGTGGCCGTCGTTGCAGTGTAGAATTGGGTTAAAGTCTGCGATGAATTGAGCTCGTTTAGTGAGATGTGGGGATGCGAAGTGATGAGGCGAGGGACCACGACTTTATGCTGGTGTTCAGCAGCTTCGCCACCTGCACCACCTGCCGCGACCAAGGCCATCGGGGCGGCTGCCAGAGGAGGCATGGCGCTGGAACGAGAAAAAAACGACTGTCAAACGCGTGGCTTCGATTCTCACGCGGGGGTAATGCGGGTCGAGGACGCGGAACGACGGCGCGGCGTCTCCGGGGGAAAACTGGGAGAGTCCCCGGGGAGGGGAACAATCGTCCTGCGGCACTCACTCGGAGAGGATGCTCTTCTGTAGATTGGAGGCACAACATCCGCCTTGTCGGGGAATCAAGGCGGGAATCTGTCCTAAAGCTGAGCGTTTCTTTTTGAACTGCTTCTGTAGAGCGACCATCTTGCTCTTGGTCGCTTTGTTCTCTTCAACCCTGCGTCCTCCTGAGCCCGCTTGCTGTTGGGACGAGTGCGGTAGCTGCTGTTCTTCCATGAGTTCAGCACTGTGAGCACTACGTCGGATGGAATGCCTCCGTTCAGCACTGCTTTGAGCTCCGTCGCGTTTATCGGACGCTACCGGTATTACGTGGAAAGCACCGTTGTGAGGCACCAGCACAACTGAGATCTGAAAGGCGCAAAACAAGATCTTGGTTAGTCACCGAGAATTACCCGACGACAAATCGAAGATTTTACGGGAGGGGAGTTATCTAGACCGGTTCCCCCTATCTCGGGAAATATCTTGGGAATCGCCGACAGGGGCAATTTAATTCGTATGAGAGGGCCCACGGAGGCCGAAAATGCGCTCCCACTGGGAGAAATCCCGACTGATTTGGACGAGAACGAACCGCGGACGAGGCGGATCGGACACGGCGACGACACACGTTCTCCAAACTCCGATCCTGCCCCTGAAGTTCTCGAAGAACGTTGCTAATCCCGGAACGTCGGAGACTGGAGGCGGCGGGACGCAACACCAGCTCCACAGCTACCGACAGAATGCAACTGCTACGTTCTCGGTGGGTCTTCGCCGCCACTGGACCCAGTCCAAATGTTCAACAAGCTGCTGTGTTGGCTCACCGACTGACTGCTGTCGCTGCTACAACTACTGTTTCGCTACTGACGAAACACACAGAAGCAGACGACATCGACGACGACTTCGAAACGCGTGCAGGCGAGAGACTCGCATGCAATCAGGCGACTGACGAGCAAGCGGGCCGCATCGACGTTGCACATCGCACATATCTCACATACATCGCGGACTTCTTCTTTCGTTCAGCGCTGTTCCCGGCGGAGCGAGCCGCCAAAAAACGGGCTCCGAATCCTCGGATGTAATCATTGCGAGGAGGAATTGGTTGGCAGCGTCCGCTTCTGAGGTTTCGTTCCAGCTGCGCGGAAGTGTAAATGTATGAAAATGAAGTCGGAACGACGCCACCGATGGTGCGTCCGACTAGCTCCGGAGCGGCTTCATGCCCTTCAAACAGTAGATTTCTCATCATTCCGTCAGCGAGGACGACAAACAAAGAGGGGAACACCCGTTTTCTGGCAAACTTGAGCGTTCCAGGCGAAATGAGCCTGTGGAGCCGCGAACTCCCCTCGCTCGTCTTTTTGTTAGGATTCCTTCCCGAGAACATCCCTGGATTTCTGCGGGGATCGTAGTGATTTCCGCAACGAGTACGATGAGTGACTCGACGTGGATTTCGTCGTTGCCGATGAGTCGCCCGAGCCGATCGCCCAACTTGCGTACGAAAGATACAAACGAACAAAGCGTCCAACACAAATTTTCTGTGTTATCGTCCCTCGAGCGGCGAGCAGATCGCCTGTTTGCCTGACAAGCGTCCGTCCCGCCACCCGCCCGCCCGCTCGCTTGCTCGCTGGCCTGCTTGCCCGTGCGTTCGCCCGCCCGCCTGCGCGGGTGCCGCGTGACGTCTATGCTAATCGGTGACGGCCTCGAAATCGCTAATTCGAAGTATTGGAATCAAGCTGAGAACTCTCGCCGCTCGCTACAACGTACGCAGTGCACAGAAAGTCTCAGACAACGCAGACGTTCGTCCCGGGAGCACGAGTGGCGCAGCAGCGTTTCGCTGAGTTTTGGAGAAATGTCCCACGAGCGAAGCCGATAAGCGAGCTCAGAAAAAGTCGCCGACTGAGTGGATTGCTGTTCCGAATAAGACGGACCCCGCAAGTCGCATACACTACGATTCAGAAACAGCAACGGCCACCGCCCCAACGGCGAAAGCCGCGAGTCCAGGTGGCCTACGGTCCCCGAACACAGACGACTCTCTGCCCGATTGAACAGGAACGAGAGAGAAGACAAGCGAGCGACAAACTTACATCATGCGCCGCCAACATCTTGGCCATTTCTTGAATGGTGTTCTTGTCGTCGAGGTAGAGGGTCCGGCGGGTGTTAATAGGTCCTCCTTTCATGCCGATGCTGAGCTTGATGGTGCAGGAATCGATGATGTTGTATTCATCCAGAGTGTGGAAATCCTTTAATTCCTCCTCCAAAAACATCAGGTTTTGCTCGGCGACGGGAATGCCTGGAAAGAGGGAGAGAGGTTATCTCTTTGAAGAAGAAAAAAAAGCTACATAGGTGCTCTCGTCTCGGTGGGAACGACCTTAACGGTCCTCGTTCTTCTTCCTTCTCGCTTGACCTCAGCGACCTTCTCTCTTCTATCCTCGCCGGAGCGAGCATGACCATTACATGGAACAGCTTTCCACACGGAACGCTGTCGTCCCCTCGGGTTCGCTCGACCGACCGACCGACCAGCCGACAACATGACGGAGATAAACGGATGAAATGTGAACGGTCACCACGAAAACCGGTTATTCCCAACCCCCCTGAAAGGGCTGAGAGACAAAAACGACTTTCGACTTCGTCCGATTCGACGGCGATCGCGAATGAAACCATTCCGCAAATCAAAGTGAATACTCGAGTGATAGTGCGTCTTTAAAGAAACATTTTTTTTCTCTCTAGCATTCGTCGAATGGCGTTTTTACTCAACCACGATAAACATCGAGCGCTGACGACGAGCGCTTCACCGCCTAGTTGACGGTCTGTCGCGGCGGAGACCTTCCGGTGGTGGCTGGCTCGCTGTCTTCTCTCATACTACGTGCCTTCGTCGCCGCGAAGTCAGGGGTGCCTCACAACCAGCCAACGAACCGGCGCCCACCACTTCACCCATTCAACTTTGAAAAGCTATACTTCTTCGTTTTTTCTTTCCCTTGTCCGTGCCTCGGCGCCCCCCGATTGGCGATCTGTCCGTGCCGTGTTCGTATGATCGGAGTATTTGTGCCCGACCCGTGCCGGCGTGGACGTTCCTGTCGCTCGCAGTCAGTCGTAGAATTGAAGCGCAAGAGACGCTAGGACGATCGATTCCACGGTGCGGGGAAGAAAAAAGGATATTTCACCTCGAGCAGCGATTTCTTCCGCGCATCTGCCGCTATTCTCTAGGGAAACTCTCCCTCAAATCATTAGCGTCGGCGATCGGGCATTCTTCTCCAGGAGCCTTGAACGTAATCCTCCTTGATTCGTTTTCAGAAAAACACAAATATCGCTCTTTCTCAGGCTCTTCGCGCGATCTTTTCTGTCGATGGCCTTTCGCTAAATTTATGTGTTCACTCTTCGATCGATCTCGTCAGCGAGTGGGTAATTCCGTTTGGCTCTGTCACAAAACTCCCGCGAGGTACAACACCGTCATCGATACGTTCCCGAGCGAGAGCCGATGGCCCAGCGGCGGTGGGATCGCAGCCGGAAGAAGCGGCACGCCAGCGAACGGAAAACCTCCATGGCGAAGGAAGAGGCGTCCATCGATGCTTTTCCCCAAGAATCTTCTTCCACGAGGATCGCGGTCGGGCATGTCGAAGATGCGGCTCTCACTCGGAGCAAAAAAGTTTTTCCTCGTTTCGGCTCCTTGTCCCGGAATCGAAGGAGGGCGAGGGAATCGACACCGACAGCAACAAGCGGACTAGATCGAAGAGCCCAATGCGTCCCATCCGTGCGTCAGCTGATCGTCCTCCGACTCCACGGATTATTCTCGTCGCTCTGCCTGAATTCGGCGCTTGCATTCTAGTGGCGGGAGGGCGGGCGGGTAGTCAGTCAGTCAGTCGAGCGAGCGCGAAACCGCCAGTTCTCACTGTCGCTCTTCTGCAAGGTCGGACTGCGGCAGCAGCAGCCACTGCTGCTGCAGAAGCCGCGCAGCGACCGATTCAAGTGAGACCTCGACTCTGAGCAAGGCCATCCGAAGGAGGAATTACATAAGCAGCTGCCGAATACACACGAGCGTGCGAGAGAAAGGGACGTGTCACCACAACCACCAGCTATTGACGACGACAGTGAAGGTGGTAGCTTCCTCGTCGTGTCGCCAGAGACTGCGAAAACGCTTTCCGGGACCGTATGTGAAAGGAATAAAGGAAAAACGCGACAGTGGCATTCTCCACAAGGGCGCTCGCTGGTCGCGTGAGGCTTTCTTCGAGCGTCTATTGCGCGTAGGTCCTTCTCCGCGGCTGTCTTGTTCGTCGCCCTCGCTCCCACCATGGGTCTACCTACTCCCGTCTCGCAGAAAATCGTGAATCAGTCTGCGGGAAGAACCTTCGCCGGAGCTGTTGTGGTCGAAAGCGAAGACCCACTACGGGGCCACCGGTCGCCATGTCGAGGTCCAGCTCGGGTTTCCTAGCACTCGAGCCCAGACCTGAAAGGAGCGGTCACCTATCTCTCGGAGCATACTTCCGTGCGACGACAGAGCCGAAGCTCGCCATGGACGTCCCCGCCCTTGATACGCATGACACCAAGTCCCTTCGAGTCCTCCCTTCCCCCGCATCGAGCCCCTTTGTCACGCTTCGTGGACCTGGAACTTTCGGAGGACCCTCGTCGATCGGCAATGAGGAGCGCGACGGTGAAAATTCCCGACTTCAAGCCCCGACGAACGGAAGACAAAAGAGAATGTCGCCAGGAATAGGAAAGAACACTGAAAAAAGCTCCGATAGTGACCCCGCGTTTCACCCCTGACAGTGAACTACTAGCCGCTGACTGGTTGGAGCAGTCCTTCCGACTTCCTGCTTTGCAACGATCGGAGCGAGCGCTTCGCCGCCAACGTTCGGCCGGCTGGTCGGTCGCTCTTCCGAACGGACGAGCCAGCCAGCCGGCGGACGAACGGCCAAAGCGAACAACGCCGCTCGGTACGCCAGACCTTGGCCCAAATGTTGCGGCTTGCTCTGCCGCGACGAGGCAGGCGTCGAACCCTCGCCCCACCATCAGCGATGCCAGATCAGTCAGACAGTCGGACTGAAAACCTACGGCAAGCGAACGGCAGGAAGGCAGGCAGGCGGGCGGTCGGTCGAAAGAGGGCGCGAGGGAGCCGACATGACTTCTCGTGTTTCTTGTTTTCGTTTCTCCTTCCAAAGTCTCGACTTTTCGAATTCCGGAATCATGGAATGACTTCGACAGAATTCACGTATTTTCCGCGCTCCTCCGAGTGACTCCTCGGGAATCAAGGATTCGGTGTTCAGTCGACATCGCGCATCCGGCCGTAGGACGGGAGTCGATTTGAGGCAAATGACGTCCTCGGTCAGGATTGAAAGTCTCTGCGAAAAAAACAACGGTCCAAAACTTGGAACCTGTTCGCCGTCTGAGCGAGCGCTTTGAGCAGACCGACGTTCCACAGCGACCGAATTCAGGGTTGCGCGTGCCGAGGCGCGCTAGGAGCACCGCGCTATTCGGTGAGATCTTGCCACGGAGCCGAACTTGCCTCGAAGGACCCAGCCTTGCTCTGTGTGTCTGTATATATATATGCGGCTTTCAACCTGAGGGTCAAGTGACAGACATAAAAGTCATTGCTGTCAATAAGCAGTAAGCCTTCTGCGAAGCTGCACCGGTGGAAGGGAACAGCAGCCTTCGTCGAAGTGGTCGTCAGGCGAAATGAACTAAGTGACCAGCGAGTCGCCCATGGAGATAGCGAGCGAACTACTGGTAGGCGAGCAGGCTCGCAGGCATACGAACAAACTAGTCTGCGACAATCAGAGACGTCAAGTACTAATCGACCACCATTTTGGCGGCGACCAGATGTGGTTCCAACAGCCCTAATAGAATCATTCCAGAATGTCAAGCAGTCGGACGTCCGCGATCGACGCCACATGTACCGTGAATTTGTGTTCCACGGCCGAACACGAACGCTTTCCCAGACTAGGGGCGTCCGTTCACTCGATCCAGCATAATATCGAACGAGGGAAAATGCTCCGGGAGCGGATTCCCTCCCTTCGCTCATCACGGGGAAAATCAGGCTGAATTCGTGAAATAGGAGTTCCGTCGAGGCTCGTGAGCGCTCACCTGCTTCTCCCGCATGTAATATTTATCTCACCGACGGGGTATTCACACAATACAGGCGTAATTTACTTCTATTGCGATTCATCTTTTTTTTTCTTCATTTCGGCAGTCTTCAGACGGCCGACGAGACCATTCGAAAGAGCAAACGGCACGTAAAGGGCACGGATAGCGAGTCGGCCGGGAGCTGACGCCGACCATGGACTACCCATGGAAGCCCCCAGCAAGAAGGCAAGGATTGCGCCGATAGCCTTCGTTCCAGAGCTAAAAATGGCCCCTGCTTTTGTTTCTTCCGCTGTCTTTCGAGCAGCGCGAAGATCGTCAGCGAGTCTCGAGCCAGCGACTATCGCAGCTCTGGAAGAAACCGCGTCGAACGGACTATCGTCGTGTCGTTGTTTTTTTTTGTGACCGGCCAGGAGTCATGATTGCCCCCCACGCGAGTCTTTCCCCCGAGATACGCGATACGCCACTCTCGAATTCGATCGAACAATGATTTTCGCGGGCTGAGAAGCGTATTGTGCGGGGATTTCCCTTTCCTTCCAATCAAAGGAGAAGAAATTGACACGGATTCGCGTCTCCGCGGCCGAACTAAGCGGGACGCAGAAGTCCGAGCCCCGAACGATAATCTCACTACGGTGAAGAGCCAGTGGGCTGCGTTAAACTTTTTTCGGGCATCGCGGTGTTTAGAATGCGCTTCTATGGCTCGAGCTTTTCACGAGTCTCATCCGAGGAGTTCACAGGCGCTCACGCAATCGAGTTCGCTGTAATCACCACCTATCATCGAGTTCACGATGCATTTCACCCTTAACGAAATAGGGCACCGTTTGGAATCAAGTCTCACCGCATCATACTCTATCCCATAGGTGCATTCGGAGGGGGACGGTGGGGGTAACCTCCGATCCCTGTCAAATCCTGAGTTTTTAACATCCCGAATGAACCCGAAGTAGGGAGCCATCCCTGGAGACTTGGGTATTGGGGGACACTCCTTCCAATCTTCGATTTCCGAGAATCCCGCCTTTCGAACCACCTGTTTTCCACCGAATTCACGGATGGCGACACAGCGTCCCGAGCCCCGTAAGTGGAAGGAAATGATCCTCTTGAGCTCCGTGCTACCGACGGGTGGTCGAGTGGTCAGCGCGTTTGTCACTACTCGTGCAGACGTGCATAGCCGCAACGACGCCGCTCGCGCGGGAGGCGGTGTGGGTTCGATCCCTGCTGCCGGAAAAATATGCAGGTACTCGGCCTTGATCCTCCTGAGTACATTTGCTCTATGGATCCGTCCTCGGAAGCAATGTGAATAACAGTACCCGGGACGTTAAACCTTGGCTGTGTGGATCAGCCCGAAAAAGTTTGAGCTCCGTGCTGTCCCCCACCGTCTCCCTTTGTCGTCCGATTCTCACCGATTGCGGAGCTATTTTTCCCAGTATTTTTCCCCGAGTTTTCTCAACGTCTGTCTCAAGTACCGTTTCGCTCATTGTCGCTGCTTAGTGTCAGAATTGGCTTCCCCGCACTTGTTGCCGCGTCGCTTTTCATTTCTGCGGATCTGCCACGGTTTGTCAGATCTTCTGCTCTCGGGCCGCCTACGCAATGCTCCAGAAACCCACTTCGACGAGAGGCTCATACAAAGCTCAGTCGTAGACACGACATAGAGCTGGCTGGTCGAGCAGCTCGCCGCCCTTCAGCCATCCGGTCGACTTTCCCAAGTAGCTACTAGCTACCAATCGAGACTCGATCGGCTCCTTGTCTCACTTCCTCCCTGATTTTCCCCAACGCACTTACGCTCGAGAGGGAAGACGAGGAACGATAGGGGCCACGGGACATGCATTCAGGAGCATCCCGAGCCGCGATATTACGCCGTCAGATTTCGATAGAATCGCCGACGCCGCCGATAAATCGCCACTCAACTGCATCACAGCTGGCGAACACAAAATAAGACATGAATCTGGGTGAAAAGGCTCGGAGCCCCTAAAACGGCGACCTTCTAGTCTTCGTCCATAGCCGTGCCGTCGTGTGCCGCTGTGAGCTTTGTGCCTAAGGGTAGCCCTGTAGCGTCCTTCGGTGTTTCGATGTGGGTCAGTCATGGCAGGCACCGGACGGCGGGTCGGCCGGCCGAATGACGGTGGTGGTCTAGCCGGCTAGCGGGTTGTCAGGCGGTCGAGCAGGCTAGCCAGCTAGCTAGCGAGAGACTGCAGCAGCCACCGGCGAAGCCGCGGTGAGCACCGTTCACATGCCGCCACTCAGCCTGTTACCAAGCGGTGAGCAGACTAGAGAACGGTGGTGACCGCGGCGGAGACGGCGGCTAAACGACCAGCTAGCGTAGCCAGACCAGTTTGCCGCTCGTGAGACCCGACTGACTGAGCGTTCGCTGGAGCACCGGCGGCAGCAGCAGCAGCGATGACGGTAGCATAACGTCAAGTAGATCTGTGTCGACGATGACGAGCGCTACGGAGTGGGCCGGGCGAATTTCATCTAATCATCGCCGTTTCACACATCCACTGATTTGCCGTTGTATCCATGCTATCCACCTGGGTATTTATTTGTCAATTCATCGGTCACTGAGAAAGGGTCGAGTCATTCATCATCAGCAGTCATCAGGTATCCAATCGGATCGACCATTAGATGTCGGAAACCATATCCATCGACTTTTCTTTTGTTCCGAGTTCTCGTGATCGAACGCTTTGAGCTCCGGACCCTCTCACCTCCTCCTGCACGTGGAGCGGAGATCTTGAGTGAGATAACGCTCGCGAGGCAGCTTAGGTGTTCGCTTCAACGTTTCGGTAGACCTCGGACGGACGGTTTATCACGGAGAAGAATATCGGGGCGTTCGAGCATTCTCGGAGATCGCTCCGAGAGCTGACAGTTGTGATAAGGCGCAGTTTGGAAAAAGGAAAATCTGTCCCGAACCTCTCGCTCTCCCAGCCTATCTGATGCCCCGCGTGGATCTGTCAGCCGACCGACACGACGCGCTTTCTTATCGCGAGAGCTTTTCAGATAGTACGCGAAAGGCAGAGCGCAGCGTTTCGAGTCCATTCTACGAGTGAGCAGACGGACGAAAGCATCGCTCATAGATGCGGAGGGCCAGAGGCCCACGACCGACCGAGTCGGTCTGTGTGTCGGGCATCCTGGCGTCCTCCTTTTTGAATTCGTTCGCCAGCTAAGCACACACGGGCGCCGCCTCGCTCCGGTCCGTGGGCCGCGTAAAGGCTCGAAATCAACTTTCGGTAAAGGTGCGACAACAGCCCGACGGGACACACCTCATCCATATCGGAACATCGCGCCGGGTCCGCATTTTCCCTTCGATTCGAAATCGAGCTGGCCCTCGCCCTCACTCCTCAGAACCATCTACCTCGGCGCGGATTCCAAGTACGGGCGGGGATCTCGAGAGCGGACGGAGGCTCTGTCGATTTAGACCCTGAACCTCGAGGAGACATTGAAATGAGTTCTTTCGTACAAGTCATCGACGTCGTCGATCGTTTTCACTTCCGTGTTTCAATTCGCCCGCGATAAAATTATCCTCCCTCTGAGTGAGACAGGATCGCTACATATGTAGATTTCGGAGACAGGATCGCTTGCTGGCTGATCCCTCGACGATTATGCAACAAAGTGTGACTGCGCGCTAACTTTCTGAAAGTACAGAAATCCATCGGCGCCAAGCCCGAGTTTGCCCGGACAACAGGAAACATTCATCGCTGAATATTCATAGCAACAACGCCACGATAGCAGCAGCAGCACAACAACAACAATAATCTAACAACGCCGCTGACCCTTGACCCTGTCGAGCGCGTCTACTCCTATTTTCCATTTTTTTTCCTATTCGAGGAGGAAGATCTCGTTTCGGCATTTATGGAGCTGACTGCGTTTTGTCGGTGTGAGCGAGCAAGCGGACGGTCGGTCGGTCGGCCGTTCCTTCGTTTTGTCGCTCTTGTTTCGGTCGCTTGCTCGGTCGAGCTGTCGGGTCGCTCGACTCTTGATGGTGCCGCCGCCGCTTGCAAAGATGATTCGCGGCGAGACTGCTGCCGACCAGTGAGAATGAGAGAACTGGTCATAATAGAATGGAAACAACCCTCACATTGAACTCGGCCAATGGCGCGGACCACTGGGCCGCTTAGCTGGTGAGCGCTGTGAGTCACGGTGACGTCAAGCTGTTTTTGTTTCGTCGAACCGCGAATCAGCACGCCACTCATCATCATCATGATGATTGTTGCAATCGATACCACACGGATTCCGCGAGGACGCGGCTGCCGTCGAGGGTGTTTCCTGAACACGTCCACCGTGGAGGTGACTGAACGCGCCGCTCCCGGAACTCAGTCAGTCGACCCTCCCGGCCGGGCCAGCCCCTCGCCCACGATTTGCGACCTCATTGAGAGTCGACCTCACGTCCTTTCCAACTCCACTTCCTCTACCGACTCTCTGGGACATTCTATCCGAGAGGAAAAAAACCTCACCGGGTCTCCCTTCGCTCGGTGGATAGCCGCGGCCAAAGTCCGGCTCGCATGCATGCAAGGGAACAAACAAGCTTCCAGACGCCGTTTAGTAGATTCGAGAACGAAGGAATATTCCCCTCCGATAAGGATCCAGCAAGAGCGGTGGGGCAGCCGGAGGAGGAGAGAGCCCGATAGCGACGTCTGTTCGGACGCTGAGCTTCGTGATATCTGACCGATCGGAGATGAGGAGAGAGATGCATCCTCAGAGGCAGCTTTGGCATCGAGAGCGACCAGAGGTTCCGCGCTAGAACGCCTGACCATGGCCGGGCGAGAGTCGCGTTTGCTCGGCAAGGTTAGCAAACTTCGAGTCAGTCAAAAGCTCCGGCGGCGGCGGCGGCGGCGCAGTCTCATCTGCGATCGAGCAGATGACATTTTCTCGACAGCACGAGGAAGGCATGATAGCGCGTTGTTTCCAGGGCTGATTCTCCATCGGTTCTTTTTCTGGCTTTCGTTCGCGAGTAATATTCCTCTTTCGATTGTTAATTACCCTTGGGCACCGCGGACTTTCCGCTAAGATATTCTCCCGGTGAACTTGTTCGAGGGAGGTTAACAGCGCAAATCTTTCTGTTGACGTCACGATGCGATGAGCTGTTGGTAATTCCAGATGGCGCTTTGGTAAACCACGCACATTCTCCCGAAGCGAGTGCGCAGCGACGACGACGTCGATCACAGACACACGAGAAAAAACAACAACTCTGGAAACACGTCAGAAGTCTTCGGCTAGGTAAGGTGCTCGAAGGGGTGCGAAAACCACCCTCCGTCCCGGCACTCCAACCGTGACAAGCCGTACAGTAATCAGTACGCCGTCACCGGAGAACCATCCAGAACAACAGCGAGCTTATGCAACGTTTCGCAGATGACTGGACGTAGCTGTAGTCATGAAGTCGATGATGAGTCACAATCTAATGGATCCGCGTGTATCTCCCCAGAGCTGACTGTGTCCGGGCCGAAACTACGAACGGACGCGCCATCCGACCGTCTGCTAGTCCGCCGTAACTCGTAACCAAGTCCGAATGTTTGACGAAACGGGGCGCGAGTATCTACGACTCGAGAGTGGCGACGACGGCGGCGGCGGCCGACGTAAATCCGACGGGGCTGCTGGACTCCGCGGCAGAGACGTCGACAACCACCACCACGGCCACTATCGAAAGAGATGACGAATATTCAACTTACCCTGTTTTTTGAAAATCCTGTTTTTCAATTTGAGGACAGTCTCGCGTTTGGACACGACGAGCTGAATCACCTCGCCCGAGATGGTTTCAACCCGGAGTCGGATTTCATCGTCAGAGCCGGCACTGGCCGATGAGGCAGTGCCAGACATCTTGGCTCTCTTCGCCGGGAGACGCACGGCGATACCTGGTCGACAACCTCACCACCTGCAAGAAGGACAGTCGATTTTAGCTGCAGCCGAACTTCATCTGGATCTATCGGAGCTCGGGTTGGTTCGCGGGAGTTCGCGGACTCGTTCGCCGTATTTTCCGCGCTACCCTCACAGACACTGACTCGTCTGCGACTCGCTCACCCACTGGCTGGGACAACAAACATCTACACAGAACCATTGGACAAGCAGGTACACGGACTAAAAAGGCTATGTTGTCGTTGTCACTCGCAGCTGGCGACAGCTGCACAACTCGAGTCAATCGGGTCATACCACGTCAGCGTGAACTATGCACTTTGGTGTCTCGTCCACAGATCGTTTCCAGAGAACTCACAAGTGAACCTTAAAGAGGCTTCTACGACTGACGCTGTTGCATCTACTACGCTCGGTTGGCAAGCTCGGCAGGCCGAGCAGCAGCAGCGACCAGTCGACAAAGAGGGCGAGCAGACCAAGCGGCCGATTGACTGACACTACCAACCACAGCCACCATTGGCCGCACACTCTAGCCGTTCTAGCGACTGTGGCAGTAGCGACGGCGGCCTCAGCGTCGACGGCGGCAGCGACGACGTCGACCGCGGCGCCCGAGGAGACTCACAGCCGCAGCAGCGAGATAGATAGGGACGGTCATTCCGGGATGGAGCTCTGTCGAGAGCTTACCTCCGGCTCGTGTTGTTCTCATCGTATAAGCTCTTGAAACTAGAGAAGCCATACATCGCTGCGAAACGAACGTCGGATCATTTAATTGGTGATTGTCTATGTATATCGACGGGGTATGCTGGACGGGGCGTCAGGGCTTCTACGGTCCCGTTTTCTCGACCCATAACCCATAAGGGATGTTATTTGTCTCCGTCTAACGGGTTTTATTCCCAAGCGATGGAAACCATGATGCAGTTTCGACTCGATGAGGTCTAAGGCAGGAAAATCTCCAGAGAGCAAATTCAAAGAATTTCCGGGAGTCGGGAACACCCATCGGCGAAATCGGAATCTTAGTAGGAAACTCCTGCCGTCGATCATTGTGAGAGGATCTCTTTCGAACTGAATGATGACTGATTCCACGAGCAGTTCGATGTGTTGAGAACACATGCTTCCCGCTCCATCGGCGATTATTCGGAAAATTATTTGCAGATCAGACAAGGAAACCCAGACGCTGCTCTTCTGATCGAGCGGAACTCCGTCAGTGGCACCGGGCCTCGGCTAGTTCTGACAATTTTCCGTGTCCGACTGACGAGTGAGCTCGGCGGAGACCTTCTGAGAAGAATTCCACTAGGATACACGGGAGCACAACCGGCGCGATTTATTATCGCGCAAAGAGTCCGGGTGAGCTCTTTCGATTGTCATCGACGTCGTGGAAGTGCTGCTTCGAGTGGTCGAAAGATGAAACCAGCCATTCCTGCCGTCGTGTCGCCATCGACGTATTTCGAAAGTTCTTGTTTATCACGCTCATATGCAAATGAGTACGCCGTAATTACGGCCGATATCGGAGGATATGGCAAGCCAGGATTGGAGGCGATCTTCTTCTATGGTTAGGGCTCAGAGCTCCGGAAAAGGCTCAACGCGTCGGCAAGAACGCCCGTACTGAGAGATTGACCTTTCACAGTTCGGGCGAATCGTCGTTTCTCGCTCGCCCGCTTGCTCATTCGCTTCTTTGCTAACTCGTCTGCTCTACACATTATTCACTCTGTCTGTTCGTCCAACGAGCTCATATCGCGGGTCTTCATTCGAGTTTGCCATCCTGGGTACGGCGCTTCTTCGCCATCGACGTTGCGTGAACGCTTCTGGCGGGTCAGTCGCGGACTCAAGGAGTGCTCCCATATCCTGCTCGCTCGTCGACGGATGACGTCTTGCGGGCTAGGCTGCGCAGCTCGCCATCCGTGATCACGGTCTAGCGGTAGTCTCCGAACTCCGGCAACGAGATCTTCACCCGATTCTCCGGAAGCGAGGAGAGCCGCCGACCGGCAGCCAACTCTCAAAAACAGCCTCGAATTTCACCGTGCGTTGGTAGGCAAAGCAGATAACGCAGCACTCTTGAATCGCAATGACGTGGCGTCGTTGCGACGCACCAACGAAAACTTCGTAATCCGAAAATTTCCTTAGCGATAGATAAAGGCGAAAAAAGAAATCGCATGGGCTCACGCGTTCCACTCGCGTTATACGACCGCAATCCTGACTCTCGTGAAATCGCTCGCTCGCTAAGATCAAGCGATGAGATTGCCTCCAAACAGATGCAATATTTTGACCAGTCAGCGCGACATCCATGGTGAGTTTTCTCTCCCCGCTCCGTCGGTTTTATTCGATTAGACGAATCATCGAACCCGTTCATATACCGAGAAACTTCCTAGTTCTTCCCCAAGACTATACAGGAATCCACGAGCTGCTACGTCTCGGTTGCAGGAAAAACCTTTAGTCAGCTAACCTTCAGCGGGTCCGCTGTGGCCTCTACCTTCGCTGCCGCGCGATGTGACGCATCAAACGTGACGTGGTTGTGGTGACTTGAGTCTCGAATGTCCCCCTCCAGTTGGATTTCAGCTCGGGAACTAAGGAGTCGCGTGTGACGTTTCCGAGAGGAGTTATCCTAATGACGGGAATTTCAAGTTTACCCGATGGTGGCGACGGCGCGAATGAAATTGGAATTTATGAATGTCGCTCGGGCCAAAAACGCTATGCCACACGAAAGAGCGAGCCGTGTATCCACTGGTCTGGAACGACCTTAAAACAGATTCGAATCCTGGCGCCACTAGCAGGAACATGGTGAATAGTAAACGATAAAGATCGACGATATTCGAGGAACCATAGGCAGACCGTTCGAAAAGCAGGAACGACACATATGGTGGCGCTGTAAACAAGGCGTGGCTCGACCGTAGTCAGAGCTCAACCGAGAGCCATTGAAGGATTGTGGCAGCTAGTTTCGCGCGCGCCGGCAGGATCTGCTTGCCCTCCGCGGAGGCAATCGACAGGCAGCGACAAGAACTTCCTCTTCCCTCTTTCAAGCGGACCAGCACGTGGCGCCATCGATTCCGCGCGAATCGCTGCGATCGAGCACGAAGATTCCGAGCGGGGTAGGGAGGGCACAATCGATGCGAGCATGATCAACCCGTCGCCTTACACGTGAAAACGAGATAACGTCGCTCGGATGACGGCGTGGAATTTTTCCCGACTGACGCTCTTTCTCATTGTTCCGATATACGTAATAGGAAAAAATATGTTCCTAGCCGCTAAGCGGACGATGGCTCCCCGGGCTGACCGGTCGGTGAGCGACTTTTGTCAGGCTGACTGGCTGACTGAGTGAGCGAGTGAACGAGTCGAGAGCAATGACTACACTGACGATTGCAGCCAATGTCCTTGTTTTCGATATTTAGCTAAAAGACGGCGAGGTTAACACGAGGTCAACGAGGTGGCATTCGCCGATTGTGAATCGTTCTGCGAGCTATCCGGCCGACGTAGTCTACACAACGCCTACGAGGGTCGGGGATGATGAATTTCAGCTCTCGCGAAGCGCACTCGGCTCGGTCCCCGAAGAAACTTCGAAGCGGATGTCGCAGCTGCATCACGCTCTTTCAGGCCACAATTGTATCATTGCGGGCATTCTTACGAATTCATCAATTGATTACAGACTCTATCAGACCTAATCGCGGCGTGATCCTCATCGCGTTGGATTTGCTACGCTTAACGCTCTATTGGCAGAAAGAGCGCAGTTTCGAAACGGAAATCATTCGGGAACTTTGGAACACGCGAATCACTCACTCAAAAAGCGTCGACCCTGTCCCCCCCGCCCCTCTTTTCCCCCTCGCTTTCCGCCTTTGGACCCTGGATGTCAGTCGATTCCACAAAATGATTGAAAAAGCCGGGTGTCGCGACAGCAGTTGCTGCGGTTCTTTATCTTTTTTCGAGAGCGTCAATTCTTCAATCACAGAGTCTGCAGAGAATACGGTAGCCTGCGATTCGACTCGGTCTGTTGGATTCGACTTTATAATTCCCAGAGACGGTGGCGGTCATTATTCATATTCAAGGTGTCCTACCTAGTATCGCCTCAGGCAACCTCGTACCCAGAGATGCTCGATCAATCGGCCTTCAGAAGGATCTCCGTTTTCTGGTCGAAGAGTCACGGGATCCTGAAGCATCTTTGCTGCTGACGCCGCGCTCATTGTTGTTGGTGGAAGCCGGACGTTCACCTCGACGACGAGCAAAGGAGGCAGCCTGTGAGCAACGGCGATGTCGACGGCGACAGCAGCAGGTTTACCCTCCCAAACTACTCCCGACGGACGAACCGTCGAGGCGGTCGTTGCTTGCTCGACGGTCGCTCGCTCTGACCGGCCATATATCCGATGCTAGCTTTCCAAAGTCGATTTCTTCGATTATTCGACGGCTTGCCGACGACCTCCCTCCCAGGTGTAACATTATTCACTGGGTGAACGAACCCAAAGCGGACGAGGAAGAGAGCTCGGACTCTTTCGAGGAACATTGTCCACGACGTAAACTCGGGAGGTCTGACGCTCCTCCGTAAGAACATTCGTTCCGAACGCTCGATGAGGAAATCGACGGAGCACGGTCCTCATTCCCCGGATACCACTGAATACGAATCCACTACGCACTTTTCCCCCACCCGGAAACGGATATCAGATCGAGCCGCTCGATACGAGTTTTATCGAATTCATTCGTAATTCAGTACGATCCTGTTTGTCGAAACTCTGTCAGAAATTCTGGGCTGCTGATAGCCCTGCATCGTTCTGGTCTTTGGGTGTCCGCAGCCATGCAATTAGGTAATCCCAAAATCCTGTCATCGTCGCTCCGGAGTGAGCTAAGCGTCGCTCCATCGACGCGTAATTCCTGCTGACGTGTCGATATTCCGGAAATCTGTCGGAGAGCCGCGTATTTTGCCAAGACCCAGCGTTCGCGTTTCTCACGGTCTCCGTCTGAGCGGCTACTCCGAATATCTCGGCGAGTCGCTCACCCATTTGAAATTTCGAGACTGCG